TATTAAATATGTCTGAAATAAGTTATTATACGTTTGATACATCATGGTTTGTCATTTAGGAAAATAAAAAATAATGTATAGCAAAAAAAAGTATGTAAACTATCACCATGCATCATACTTAGAGCGCATTATTGTTGGGGTCAATAGTACTTATTTTGAGACAAAAAAACATTTTTTTAGAAAAATTAAGGTGTTTGGTTAATCAATAAAATTGCAAAAAAAAAAAGCAAAAGCAGAAATTCTTTTTTAAGACCAACCATTCTTTGCATAAATACATATTTATCAATATATCTTTTATATTTATATATTTTTGTATGTGGTGATTTAATTTGTGGAACAATTTTTAAATTTAATGTGCGTGATAATTTTAATTATATTTAAATTATTGTGTTAATATTATATTAATATTTACTAATTAATTTTATTTATTTATCTATGTATGACATTGATTGAAAATTTGAACATGTAAACATTATGTTATATTTTTGTATCATACTCTAATATAAGTTATGTCTTACAAGGAATAACAAGTTATGCCACTTATTCCTATAACACGTATGTCATTAGAGGTATACGTTTAGTTCTTAACCCACAAGGTAAAAGTTCTCTAAACTTATGCCTAGTGAATTAGATACTACACATTTATGTCGAATAACTGAATTCCTACAAAATATATGACAAAAAAAGGAAAAAAATCTCTAAGTTAAATCTTGAAAAATTAGGTCATAATTAAAGGTATTTTGATCTGTAAATTTTCATTGAATGAGAGAAGAATAAAAATTAAAGATTAAAAGTCACTCCAAAATAGTAACTATTTATGTAAGAACTATCGATAGGGTCTCAAATTTCGAGGAGTATATATATATATATATATCAACTAACCTATGAAACAATCTGAATGTAGCATTGTTTTGTCATAGAAGATAAAAATAATGTTCAAATTCATTGCTATCGCATAGAAGAACTTTGAATTCATATGAAAGATTTAAAACAAAAGTCATTCTTAAATCAATTATTTCTAGATTCTGGCTATCCCAATCAAATCAAAAGAAAGATTGCTGCTCAAACTGATTAAGCATATCTTCCGTGGAAGACAACTTGTAGACATCTTGACTTAAGCTCCTTATATCTTCAAGGATTTCTGGTGTGGCGGTTGCAATTGCCAGTTCGCCCAATATCTTAGATTGTTCTTGATTTCGACTATTAGCAGAAGACAATTTTTCCTCCAAGAGTAGATAATTCTGCCCAAATCCATAGTTGTCGCCAAAATTCAATGACACTTGTTTAGCAGCCGTAGCATTTCGAAAATTGCTAGCTATCACATGTTCGTTCTTCGATGGCAACACATCAATAGAACTGTTGTTTGGAGAATCAATTGAAAGAGAAACGGTCTTAAAAGGAGGATGAGATCTTTTGTAGAACAACACATCACCTGTCTTTTTATCCCTAACAGCTTCTAAAGGTGCCTCCATGATAATTTTTTGTATATTGAACTAGATCTATTTTGTGTGTCTATATATAATACTGAAATTTGTGTTAACACAAGAAACCTAATAAATTTGTTTCCATGATGTCCAAGATTATTGAAATATAAGAATCTCTGACCAAAAAAAAATAAAATGTAAGAATCTAGTCTTCACTCTACTTATAAGGTAAGTATGAAGCAAGTTAATTATTATTTGTCCTTTTAATCTTCTTATTACCTAATATTTTTGTATTTTCAAAAAGAAGGTAATATAAATTTTTAGCATTTAAATTAAATACAAGCACAAAATTTTTACGTTGTTTATAGATAATTTATATAGTAGATGTTGAACTACTCTCAAATTTTTTGTGTGTTTGCTTTTCACATTTTGAACCTTTCAATAAAAATTGTGGTCACGTCACTACCTCAACTTAAGGTTGTTAATTTTATAAACATTTTTAGTTTAATCAATTAAAAAAAATTATGCTTAACTGTTTTTTTCTAATTTAATTCTTAAGAGTCCCTTTCCATAAATATATTTGAATTTGCGTTTCACACATATTGTTCGTTCCTCCTCTTCTTTACAAAGATACTTTTAAATTCGTTATTCTTGAAAAAAAAATCAAATATTTTGATTATTTTAAAATTGTTATTCAAATATGTGACTGATTATATATATAAACTCAATTTCAACACTTATAAATTGCACTAGATACAAAACTCGTCTCAATATGAGCCAAGATATTACTTCTTTTTTGTTTCTATTTATTTTATCCTGCGTGTCTTGCACTTTGCTTCTGATCGGGCACATATAAATACTACCCATATAGAAGACTCTACAAGTAAATGTGTCTTCGTCAACATACATTTGTGTCATATTAGGTGGAACATTTGTATTTATGTAATTTTTATATTTTTATCTATTTTAATTTACTTATCTTATTTTCTTTAGCTTTTTATTTATTTAAAAATCACTTTTAAAAAATATTATAAATTACGACAATTATAACTTACTATATTTAAAAGACATATAAAAAATTTAATTGAATGTCAAAACTCTATCGACACCACATAATTGGGAAAATAGAAGTAACACATATTCTTTGTAAATGACGTAAAAACACTATAAATCACAATAATTAATAATTTAAATATTTAAAAGATATATAAAAAAAAATTAATTGATTGTTGTAATTGTATTTATGCCACGTAAATTGAAACATAAAGAGTAATCTATATTATTAAAAACTTATATAAAAGTTATATAAATTACAATAAATAATAACTTAAATTATTTAAGCATCATATAAAAATTTGAATAACTCTCTAAATTTTAACTATATCACATAAATTGAAATTGAAACTTGATATATTGAACTTGTATCTATATCTATCTTCTTCAAATATTTATATCAGCACTATTAATTTGTATACAGCCAAACAAAACAACAATAAAACACTACTACTACATTACCTTGCCTATTTCTTTTATCATCACTAGATATGAAATACCTCCACTATCTCATTTTATATGATTTATTTTTTTAGTCCGTCTTAAAAAGAATGACATATTTATATATTAAGCAATATTCTCTCCATCTCCTTTTAACTGTCATAGTTTCTTTTTTGAGAATTAAATGATATTATGAATTTTGACAAACATTTTAAAATGTATTTCTTTATTATATTGCTACAATTTTTTTTGCAACTTATAATAATTTTTCATGTAGTTTCAAATATCTAATTAATGTAATCTAATTTAGCTTTGAAAGTTGGTCAAATTGACTCTCAAAAAACACAACAAGACAACTAAAAAGGGACTAAGGGTGTGTTTGGTATGGAGGAAATCATTTTCTAGAAAATATTTACCAATTTTTTCATGTTTGGTTGGCTTTAAATGTTTTCCAAATCAACTCATTTTCTTCAAATTTAAGGAAAATGACTTCCCTTCCAAAATTAAGGAAAACATTTTTCAAAACTCTACTTCATCTTTTTATTTTTTTCTTACCCTACCCATACCCGGTGACCGTACCCGACCCTCCCCATTCAAAAAAAAATTAAAATTCTTAAATTTACTTATTTTTAAAATTTCAAATATATTTTTTATCCCTACCTCTAAACCACCCCCATCAAACAAACAAAAAAAGTAAAAATTATTTTCGAAAAATATTTCAAATTTTAAGATTTTTTTACCTCACCCAACCCTTATCACCTCTCCCTCCCCTCCCCCCCCCCCCCCCCCCCTCTAAAAAAATTGTTTTTGAAAAATATTTCAATTTTTTTTACGCCACTCCCCCTCCCCAGCCACCTTCGTTTTTTTTAAAGAAATAAAAAATTGAAAGTATTTCAAATTTTAAATTTTTTTACGCCACCTTACCCCCACCCAGACCACTCCGTAAAAAATGTTTTTGAAAAATATTTCAAATTTTAAAATTTTTTTACCTCACCCAACCCTTATCACCTCTCCCCCCCCCCCCTTCCCTTCCCCCCTCTAAAAAAATTGTTTTTGAAAAATATTTCAATTTTTTTTACGCCACTCCCCCTCCCCCGCCACCTCCGTTTTTTTTAAAAATAAAAAATAAAAAATTGAAAGTATTTCAAATTTTAAATTTTTTTATGCCACCTTACCCCCACCCAGGCCACTCCGTAAAAAATGTTTTTGAAAAATATTTCAATTTTTTAAAAAAAATCATTTTTTATGCCACACCCATCCCTACTCCCCAGGCCATCCCCTTCATGTTTTATTTTTTTATTTTAAAAAAAATATATTTTTGAAAAATATTTCAAATTTAATTTTTTTTCATTTTTACGCTACGCCCTACCCCCTCCCTCCACCACTCCCACCTAACCATTCCCGTTAAAATTTTGTTTTAAGAAAATATTTTAAATTTTTAAAAAAGTCATATTTCACGCCACCCCCTACCCCCTATCACCCATTTTTAAAAAAATACAAAAAAAATGTTTTTGAAAAATATTGCAATTTTTTTTAAAAAAATCTGGGTCAGGTCCTGTATCAGATCTCAGGGTCAGATTTTGGAACGGTCATCGGAGTCTTGTCCTAGTAGTGTCGGGGTCGGGTCCTAGATCAATTATCGAGATTGATTTTCTGATTAGAAATAATTTTCCTAAAGAGTAATTTTTAGTCTCAAGCAAAAAATAAAAGATATTTTTTGAAAAAAAAAAATTCATTCACCAACCAAACATGAGAAAATAAGTTAGAAAATCTACTTGTCTTCCAAAAAAACATTTTCTTCGTACCAAACACACCCTAAATGAGTAACAATTGAACTTTAAAATATCTATTTTAAATAATTTATAGTCATATAAAATATTTATCACACCATAATTTTTTATTTTTTTTATATCTTTCTTAAATTCGTGTCAAGTCAAACTAACTAGGGAGGAGTAATAATTTAGGAAACGCCCAAAATGAAGAAATGATATAATGTTTTTTCATCACGCTAATATACAAGAAACGTCGAAGAATAATACAAGAACTAAGCTAACTTCGTTAAAACCCAAAACCCCTTTCTTGGACTGAATCGCCCATCCATGGCGACAAGAAACGTTTATCTTTATGTTAATTTTCTTCAGGCAGTTTTGAAGTTCCAATTGTTGAGATATGGAGATCAGTACAATATTGATGCGGCATAAAGATTCTTCATCTGGGCATTTTGACATGCAGATGATAGGCACTTTCTTGAGTTTCGCATCAAGGGGTGACAGAGTTGGTCTCAATCAGATGCTGAGGCAGGGAATTTCACCCAATGTACAGGACTATGACAAAAGAACTGCTCTACATCTTGCTGCTAGCGAAGGACACGCCTCTATTGTTGAACTTCTTTTGGCTTACAAGGCTGATGTTAATCTCAAAGATAGGTGGCTCCGGACTGTAAGCCCCTTTTCATATACTATTACCCTTCTCTGCTCGTCTTTCTTCATACTGCATACAACCCCATTCATTTATGTTCACACATGGTTGTTACATATTGTTTTATAATGTATTATATTATACATGTTCTATTGTTACATCGTTACATTATGTTAGATATCAGCAATTTGAAGAAAAAAAACAACAAGAAAAGTAGGGTTACGGAGTAGTGCTATCATAAAAAGGTAAGGAATGGTAAAAGATGAAATATGATTATTAGATAATAACAAAAATAAAATGAGAAAAAAATAATAAGGTAACAATCAGTGGCGGATCCAGGATTTCTGTGGAGGGGGTTCGAAATATAAAGAAGTAAACATGTGAAAATTACAAGATAAAAAACTGAGCGAGATAGGAGGAAACTAGTAATCTGAATCCAATAAGTTTAACTTGCCTTGTCATGTCGCGTTTAATTTTTTTTACTTTTACCCTTTTTCATCAAGGTTTTTTAAAAAAATATTTCTTGTGCTTTTTTTCTCTTTTATATTGCAGTGTTCTACTCTATTTTTTGAATTTTTTAAAAATACAACCACTAAGATATTATAATATATATTCATAAGATAAATAATTGACATCGTCGATTTTTTAGTTCATTTAATTCAATTTACTAGGTTGATCATTCGTGAAAAAGATAAATGATGAATAGAACAAATAAGTTTAGTTTAGTTTTCATCTTTTTAAAATCGAACTGAAAAATAATAAGAAAGAAATACTATAAAATTAAGGGCGGAAAATCAATTAATTAGATTTTATTAAAAGATTATACACGATTTTTAAATTTCTTCATTCGATTAACTTTAATTTAATTTATTTTATATAATATTTTTGTAAATCAATTTCAAATTTAATAATAATTCATCGTTAGTACATGAAAAGAAACTTATGTAGAAATAAAATGAGAAGTATAAATAAGAAGAATAAAAGACAAAAATATCTAAAATATATAAATTTAAACAAAGATAAATTGAGAAAAGGAAATAGCATAGAGAGAAAAATAATGATAACAAAAATAATAAAGCTTTACATTGAACCAAAAACAATGAGGCACTCATTCAGTTGGGATTTGAGCCCAAAACGAGAGCCCATTCAACCTTCCAAAAACAATGAAATAGAGTTGGATTTGAGCCCAAAGCAAGAGCCCATTCAAAGAAAAAAAAAACCCAAATGGGAAAATGTTGCAGCGAGTGGGAATCGAACCCAGACCCTTTCAGTTAGAGTTGAACTCCTGAACCACTGAACCATGCTTCTCTTTATATTTGAGGGGGTTCATTTTAATATATGTACTCATAAAATCAGAAATAGACCTTATATATACAGTGTAATTTTTCGACGAGGGGGTTCGGGTGAACCCCCTGACCTCCACGTGGGTCCGCCCCTGGTAACAATGTGATTACACCAAATCAGTTGTTACATAAAATGGGAAATTTTCTTGTTGCATAAGGATGGATTTAACGATACTATGCAATAATTTTTTAGTAAAAATCAAACACTGACAGTGCAATATCATGATGGTAGTTACCATTTTTATCAATTATTAATTGATGCTTATTTTATAGATTAACCTGTAATTACCTTAGAAGTGACCTGATTGTATACTTATGTTTTAACTTAAACTCTCTGTTTTTTAATGCATTCCTATGATGAGGAATTAACCATCATTATTTTCCTTTCAATTGGTTGTTAAGCCCTTAACAGATGCAAAGTTGTACGGGCACCGTGACATATGCAGGATCCTTGAGGTCTGTGGTGGCAAGGATTCCAACAGTGATCATCCTTTGGTAAGTGTTCATCGCTAACAGTGATCATCCTTTGAAATTTGATGTTATGAATTTCTTATATGGAACAGATCTTATTAATTTTCATTTACTTAGTGTGAGCATCAAGTTCTTACCATTCAATAAGAGTTGTATATATCATATCATGTCATTCAGGTGCTTAAAATATTGACAATAGCTTCATTAAACAAATAAAACTCCATCTTATGAATTCTGCACCTGAAAACACACTTGAGACATACATGGTAGACTTAACTTTGGTAGAGTGTAGCTCTAGCTTAAATGTTGTTTACACAGACTGCTTGACAAAGTGAAGTCTGGTTGAACTTCACGAATGGAAACTTCTATCTTTGACATTGCAGTTTTAGTCACCTTTGTTGACAATTTATGGAAAAATATGAAGTCTTCCTTTATAAAGCTATGTCAAAATTGCACTTTCTATCTTACAAAATAAGCATAATACTCATTTTTGGTCCTATGTCATTGCTTTGGGATATAGCTAGCTTTCACCTGTTGCTTGTTGAACAAAGCACCAATCAATTACTTCACATAAACTTCTCAAGCCTTCATCCCTTCCGAGAGCCATACAATTCTTTCTGCATTACCTTGTAAGATCACTCCATTCTGGCAATGTGAATTTGGGGGATGATATGGAGAAGGGCTAAGGTAGCAGAATTTAAGAATGTAACTGAGCCCTGTCAGTTTCACTGTTGAAGGACTAACTGCTTATTTTCCAGAGAGTAGATGAATAGAGGACTCCACAACATTGGGGGATATACTTGAACTTACTTCCAAATACAAGGACACAAGCACATGTTAAGTCAAAAACCATAAGTTTTCACTTATAAAAGTTCCAAGCCTATTAGTGCAGAATTTACTCATGACTGTGGTTTCCGTTTACTCCTTTGCTGTTTTTGCTAATCAATCTGAGTAAGAAAATGTCCGTTGATATGACAAGTTGAATTTTATGACATGCAGACTGTTCGGCGTGAAGAGGATTCAATTGAAATGAATATTGACATATCTGAACTGAACTTGCAGCATTCTTCAATAATTGAGCAGGTATTAATATGGAAATCCAAAGGTTGGGATGTCATGGTGCTGAGTATATTCTAGGGCTTCCTAGGGCTGTTTCTTTCTTTTACTTAGCATTTAACTTTCTAGGAACTCAATCCTTTGTTATTTTTACAGGGCTTATTTGGGGAGTCTGAAAAGGTCAAATGGCGTGGAACATGGGTGGTTAAAACCGTAATCAAAAGGCATTCAATTTATATGTCATTTTTATTACTATAATTATTTAACAAGGCTTTCTGGATTAATTCTTTCTTTTAACTTTTTCCAATATACTTGATGCAGGGTTTTTTCTGCTAAGGTTAATACTTTACTGAGGGAACTTCGACATCCAAATATTTTACAGTTTCTTGGATCAATTGTGCATGGTGATGAAATGATCTTGATCACAGAGTATTTGCCGAAAGTATGCTGTTTCTTCCCTCAATAATATTGGCAGAAACAGTTCAGATTTTTTTTGTAGGACGGCACTCAATAATCATTTTGTGAGACATGATGCAGAAGTAAATGCATTTTGTAGCCTTCACTATGCTGTACTATTAGTAGATATTTTTTGCCAAAGTACTATCACCTAATATTCCTGGGTGCTAATTGTTATGGAACTTATGCCTATTAAATTTTAACATTGATCTTCAAAAATTTTCTCCCAAGATCTTTCAGTGATTGCTAAAATGGTCAAGGATAGTCCCTGTATATGATATACTTCTTATTATGTTTTCCCATATATTTATTTCAGGGAAACTTGCAAGATATTTTGAGAAAGCGTCTTGACCCCCCAACTGCATTGCGCTATGCACTTGACATAGCTAGGTACAACATTCCACTTATTTCCTGTTTAGGTTGATTTCATTTTATTATGTGAAGAACAAATCACATTAGTGCTCACATTGAACACAGGGGAATGAATTACCTCCATCGGCACAAGCCCTTGCCTATTGTTCACAATAACTTGCATCTGAAGTATGTCTATTCGTTTATCCTTATTAATAACATCTCACTGCAATTTTTTTATGTATTTATTATCTTCTATACTTGGGAATTGTAGTTGAGTCTGCTTTCCAAAAATAGGATCAGGGAAAATAACTGACTTCTAGTTTAAGTATTTCTTTTTGCTGAGTTATTATGATTATTCTAGTATCTGTATCTTGGTGTTTAATCACAAATAGATAGTTGTTAGATAAAACCGAGTGCTTCTTTTCTTTCAGTTTGTCTGTCTATGATTTTCTGCAATGGATTCTAGAGAGTTCTTTTGTTTGTAACAGTATTGTCAAGCTGCAGGTCGTTTACATCTTTGTGTTATGTGCCTTGCTAATCTGACTTGAGATTTCTATCCTCTTAAATGTTCAACTGTCTTATTACTTCATAACTCAGAGCATTTGGGTATGTTCACGTTTTATTGCCAGAATATTCATTATCGAAGACATGAAAATGCCTTTTATCTTAACTGATTTCAATTATCAATAGGACTCTTGAGTCAACATGCAATTGGATGTCTAGGTTTCAACTAACATATTGGTCATTTGAATGAATGGTGCAAGTATGCATTTGTTCAATATTTTTTTAGTATGTTGATGTAGAGATGTCAAACTGTTGGTGGCGTATAAATGCATTTTAACCCACTTTTCCATGCTATTTCTATCTGTGTGACTTCTGACATGCCAGCAAAGTAATATACGATGAAATGGACACTAATTTGTTTAGTTTATGAAGCAAATTCTAAAATAATAAAGTTAAGCTATATAGCATATGTCCTCCCGAACAACTAGCTGTCATCTTCACTGAAGTCTTTTCTTAATTTGGTCCAGGAACTTGTTACTAGATGAATGTGGGCACTTAAAGATTGGTGAATATTGGGTTCAAATATTGGATAATCAAATATATGCAAGTCAGGACTGTTGTATGAAGACTTTTTGGTTCTTGCTTATTTGTTTGTTCATTTATTTTGGGTCACATACTGCAGCTTATAATCAGTCTCTTTCTTTTACAGGTCAATCAAACAACGGATGTAACTTAATCAGTCATCTGTGTCATGACATTAGCAAAGATATTTATTCATTTGGCCTCATCTTTTACCAGGTAGATTCATGGAGTTCTCTTATCATATATGTAATCAGCATATTGCAATAATCCTCCCCTTTTCTTACTGCTTTTTGTTGGAGATTCAAGGAGTTCTCCAACAATTGAGCATAAACTGATCCAACTTTTGGATTAACTTGAGTTTGTTGGACCTTCTTAAAACTAATAACAAAATTCACATAAAATGTTGATAGATTGATAAATTAAAACAAATGATCTGTGATTTTAGCTTACCTTTGGAATTCCACTTAGTTTGCTATTAGCACTAATGCTGCTACTTAATTCAGGCGATCTTTCATGATCTTTTACTAGTTTGATGAGCATCCTATAGAGTGCTTACTTGAAAAGCTACAAGAAAATTGAATATTATCCTATTAAGAACTGGATGATCGTGACCTTTTTTATGTGTCATGAAAAGGGTAACTAGACTTCAACTTTAATTACATATTCTGAAGAAGGACTAGCTGGATGCACCAATACCTAGGAATAAACAAAGTTGAATTTATTTTTTTGGTCGGGTAATCAAGAGGATGAGTTCAGATCCTCTCAATTCCAAACTTTGGCATTAACTTTCTTTAGTTGAGTGCCAAAGTTGTTTCTCGTTAGATGGAAGTTCTTTCCCCACAGTGAAAGCTCAAACCAATAGAAAAATAGTGACAAAATGAGCATGATCTAAAGTTGTTTGAGGCATAAACTCAACATGATGTAGTCCACGTAGTAGTCAGTTGTACTGGTAGAACTTTTTCTTTGGTTCATTGCCAGTGAAAAAAAGTTGTGTTATTAGAGTAGGTCATCTTTTTGTTTACTTTTTCTTACTTGACTATTATCACATGAGTTTCCATTAAGATTCAGTACTAACACTGGAAATGCTGCAGATGCTGGAAGGAAGACAAATAACTGACAGGAGTTTTGAGACCATGCATATCAAGTCTGTAGATTTGGAGAAAAAGCTTTATACAGGTCGATACCCGAGTAGAATTCTTCAGTAAGTCAATCACTCAATCTTGAAGCTTTAATTTAACTTCTCCAATACATGTCTTATTACCCAACTCAGTATATTCTTCACTAAACCAGCTTCTAAGTAATTCATACATAGACATCATGATCCATGTTGATAAGAGGTTTAGTGATACGAGACTATCTGGTTAGAGCAACTCAGTATATGTTTAAATGATTATACTATCAGAAATACAGGCTACTAAGAACTCGAACATACATTGTAGCTCAAATTATTTATTGAGATCCCAATCAACAACTCAAAAGGACCAAAATCCCGTACCCGTAAGCTTCAATTGTTGGCTCTGCCTATGTCGATAACATATTGTTATTTTGTTCAGGTTAATTGAGGACTGCACGAGTACAGTTCCTTCTACAAGGCCATCATTTGCTACAGTAATAGAAATCCTAGAAGAAGTCTCTTTACTATCAAGAAAAACAGGTTGCCCGCCGTGTAATAAAAGCAAAAGCCCCAAGTAAATGAATTTAATTTGCTAGTGATGGATATGCTTTGATACACACCATAAATTTGAAAAAGTCAGTGAAGAACTCATTCTGGTTCATGAATATGAGTTTGATATAATTCCCAAGTTGACTTTCATGTATTTGACTTTGTGTTACTATAATGTATATAGGAAATTTTACTTGCTTGACTTTGTGTTAGTTATCTTTTGGTATTACATATGCTTTGACCTGCTCATATTAAAATTAGTAATACTAAAAATTGTTGGAGTGGGAAATAAGATATTTTTGTTTGACTTAGATGTAGTCTGTTCTAAGGTTTACTTTGCAGAGATAGCCGTCCTAATTCTTAGGATTTGGCAAAGAGAGACTAGCACCACGGGTGAGTCATTTTGGATTAAATTTAATGGATCACTTGAATATGTGTAGTTTTTCTAATTATCATTAAATGCTAGTTTTTAAATTTCATCCCTGCAATGTGATTTGGAATTAAGGAAATGTCAAACGGTTAATTGTTGCTTCAATTAACTTAGGAGGCATGTAAATTGTATTATCTGTTGTTTCGTGTTGTTTGATTATAGAATTATTGTTGTAGTACTGTTTTGGTACTATATGATGATTTTGTATTTTCATTAAGTCTTTTTCTAAACTGTTTTTCTTTTGAGCTTGAGGGTGAAACAACCTCTATACCTCACCTCTGAGGTAGAGGTAAAGACTCATTTGTATACACTTTACTCGTCTTCTCAATTTCAATTTGTGAGACTACATCAGGTATGTTGATGTTGCATGTCAATCGTAATTTTAGCCTGCGTGGAGATCTGGAATTTTACAGCCAAAAGTGAAATATTTTTGGGAAAATGTCATACGATATAAAAATATATTTTCTCATGGATTCCCTTGTACGGCAAAAGATGACGGTGAGTTTAGGATATACTATTATTTATTATGTGAATATGAGATGATTTCTCAACAACGCCATTTAATAGTAACATGGAAAAATCAATTATTTAGTACACAACCAATGATTAGTAAGCAAGCTATACTAATAATTTCCAAAAAAAATTAGTAGTGTTTTTTAATGAGGGATTAGAAGAATAATGATACCACTAATGTCCTTTGGTAATGAAAATTGTGCATATGATCTTGTAACGCGGCTACTATACCGTCACGATTCCTGGAGTTGCTCTTTCTTGGGAATTGGATATTTAATGTATGTTATAATTGAAACCAAAATTCAACTTTAGCTTTGCTTAGAACTAACCTTTTCCACTCATGATATTTTCATCTCCAGATGAATCCGTCCATTTTTACTTGCTCATAGTATTAAATTAGATGTTCATTTTCTGTTTCCCAATTTAGAAAATGAAACAGATAATTTATTATTTAGTTTCTAATTTATTTTTATTATTACTTATAAGTATTTTTTTTTAAATATTAAATTTATTATATTCAAAATGTGATGTAGTAAAATATATATTTATTGTTGCTCAAGAATGGTGTGAAATAATACTGAAAAGTAAAATTAGCGGAGTTTTGGACAGCATGCCTGACGCCACTTACAACAAATTTAACTTTATTCAAGTTCTTTGCTTATTATGTTAAGTTCTAACCAACTCTCCTAACCTCTATGATGCTCTCGTTACCCACTTGAAATTTACCTCCAACCATCAAAAACCGCCATTTTGGTCCAACATAGGGAGGAAATCGAGATCTAAATTCTACTCCCTCTGTTCCTTTTTATATGTCACCTTTTTACTTTGCAATTGCATTAAGAAATTATGTAACCTTACCCTTCTACCCTTATTTAATTTTTTTGGAACTCAAGTTTTCAATCAATGAATATGAATTAATCTATTTTGATTAATTAATTTAACCAATGAACATGAATCATTTACTTAGCTTTTCTAAGTTGGTCAAATATATATTTTCAAGGCAAATAACTCACAATGGAAAAAAAGGAACAATATGTTAATTTATGCATTGATTTAATGAAATGACAAGTATTATGGACTAACTATTTATAGAAAGAGATGACATATAAAAAGAAACGGAGAAAGTAGTATATTGCACATTTATATAGCTAAAGAAAATAAATAATGAGGAAACGTGAATTTTAACTTTAAAAAATAAATAGGGATGAAAGCAACTCTATTTTGTTTTTGCCTCTATCAACTTTAGTAAATACGAGTAGCATCCACTATTTTCCAGATATTATCAAAACAAGTAAACATACAGCAGAATTTGGTAATAATGACACGTAAAGCAAGACCAAAAATATACAAGTGGCCTCCACACGCATTTAACAGAAAAAAGGGAAGAAATATGATAAAAATCCTCAATATCAATCATAGAAAGTTAGAAACCAACTATATAAACGTACTTTCCTTTCAACTTCGGGTACACAAAATGTATCATCAAACGCGGATGTCAACTGTCATGTGCCCTTTTTCTTTATAACTACAACTGTCTTCTATTCATTAATTAATACTAATATTTTATTATTTTTGACTTTTTCCTTTTACCAACATTCCCTTTATTTAAATATATGACAAACCCCATTCAGTATCCTCAAAACAATCATATTCTCAAGAAACTCATTTACAGAAAAACTCAATCTTGTTTTTTGTTATATACTATGGGTAACTATATTTCTTGCACTTTATCAGGACCAGGAGGAAACAAGCAATCAAGAGGGGTAAAAGTTATATTCCCATCTGGTGAAATCAGGCATTTTTATCAACCAATCAAAGCAGCAGAGATTATGATGGAAACTCCTAATTTCTTTCTTGTAAACACTAGGTCACTCCATATTGGAAGGAGATTTTCTGCGCTAAATGCTGACGAAGATCTTGAAATGGGAAATGTTTATGTTATGTTTCCAATGAAAAGACTGAATTCTTTTGTATCAGCTGCTGATATGGGTGCTCTGTTACTTACTGCTAACTCTGTTTCCAAAAGGGTGTCAATAGGGAGTTTCAGAATCTTGCCTGAATCGTCAGTTGCAGAAACTGAACAGATACAGATACAGGGGAATTATTATGAAAAATCGACTTTGCCTAAGTTGAATTTGGATGATATTGAAGATTTTTCAAGTGAAGAATTTAAGCATAGGTTATCTATGTGTAGATCGAAGAAGCCATTGTTGGAAACTATTGCTGAAGAACCAGTTTGTTTAAGAAGAGGATTTTGAAGAAATTTTATTAATTCAAATTCTCTTTGAAGTTTAGGAAGGAAAAATTATTCTTTTAAAGATTAGGATTCATTTGTGATTTACATTTATCATTTAATTCACAAATTCTGTTTATTTTTTTATTCAATTGATTTTTTTTTGAGTGAGGCTAAGATTGAAGGATCGAGAGCTGAACTTTTGTATTGGAGCATAAAGAAAGTGTGTGGTAATTGTAAATTTTTGTAATTTTGTGAAAATATTTTATAGCATAAAGAAAAAAGTATTGCGTTTTGGTCCTATAAATGATACTTCATCCACCTCAAAATACTGTGATATATCATATATTTTTATTGACAACCCTCGAAAATACTAATTATGAGGAGTATTATTCAAGTATTTTATGAAAATATCTTTGTTGAAGTAGGCACGTCGACAGAGACATGTATGCTTCAACTTGAAACTCCCTCTTAGGGCCCGTTTGGATATGAAATCATGAAATAAAGTTGAAGTTTTGTTTAGACATGTGATTTGAACTTTTGATATTGTATATTTTCTCATATATAAAAGCTCCATAAATTGTAAAGCTATTGAAATTGTCCAAATTTTTTATACAGTCTTACCAAATAAGTAAAAATAAATAAAATAGCATAATACACTATCACAAAATTATTCTAAAAAATACTAACATTTATTTGATCAAACCTTAAGAATAAAAAGAAATAAATTGAACATAAGTTGGAATTGTAGTGTTCAAGTTGTTAGAAGCTAAGAAAATTGTTTTTTCAATTAATGGCAAAGTGGTTAGTCTTGTCCACTCAATATAATGTTTATTTCATTAAACATTGATTTGAATGAAATAGTAATAATTTGATTAAAAATATACTGAATTTGGTGAATATAAATGGTAAATTAAGAATTGATTTGAAATAAAAATAAATTTTATATTAGCTAGAATAATCATTAGATGAGATATAAACGGTTTAAAAAGTAATGTGACGAATTATAAATTTTATTTACATATGAAATAAATGGCTAGTAGATCTATATAAATTAATGTGAGTTTTTTTACAAGATATATTCTTGTGGGACAATTTTTATATTTGAAAAAAAATCTCAAATCGTGATTTTTGGAGAATTTGAGATTTCATCTCATGATTTTATATCATGAGATGAAATCAACGTGAAACAGAATGTCCAAACACTGATTTCATCTCATAATTTCATATCGCGATATGAAATCCCATATTCAAACGCATACTTATATATACAACAATCATGCATCATTTTCTATATTCTACCATCAATATAAGTCAGGACGCTTGGTAATTGTAGTGTTATTTGTTATAGGTTCAATCGAGCCTAATATTTTTGATACATACCTCCATATATAAAAAAAAAATATATAATTTCAACAAATATGATATTCCTACCCTAATACTCGATCAAATATGACGAAGCTTTGGTCACTAGAGAGAGAGGGGGTTGGAGCAAAAGTTTACAATTCAAGATCTTACTTCTGATATGGGAAGGTATTGATTTGTATATTAAAGATTAGGAGTATCACTTTTGAACGAGCAAATGATATTCTATCTTTATTTATAATTTGAACCAAAGAAAATCTTTTAAAGATCACTGATAAATAATTTACAGATTTTATGTTATTTTCTTTTATCACACTGTCATATAAAGTGAGTAATAATTTTAGAAAAAAGTCCGATTGGGTATGATTTTAAAAAAATATATATATAAGAAAGGTATACGCTGTGCATTTAGTAATGGACTTCATGAAGGCTACACTGTTCTTTCCTTTTAAAAAAAAATAAAAAAAATTATTTCTCGCTCGATGTTCTCATAAATTATTAAACTAAAAGTATGGGGGAACCACTATATATAAACATTTTTTTTTTTTTCCTTAAATAACATAGACATGTCAATAACTTACTATTCCCTCTGTTTAAAAAATAATTTGTTTTCCTTTTTATCTATTTAAAAAAGAATGACCTTTTTCTTTTTTCGGTATCACTTTAATTTCAGTTTTCCACTAACATATTTAAGGTAATGATACAAAAAGACAGTTTAGTACATTTGACATAATTTTAATTTAAAATCACAAGATTAAAAAGTCTTTATTTTCTAAAATTCTATGTCAAGTCAAACTAGACCATTCTTTTGAAATAAAAGGAATACAATGTTTTGGGATAGAACTCTATATAAATTAAAGAAAAAACAACCAAAAAAAAAAAGGCTATAACTAATGAAATGTCAAAAAATTAAAATTCTGGAAAATGTGAAATGGAATCGAAAGGGTAAGTCTTCTATTCAATATTTATACTAAGGTCCGACTAGATTCAAATGTAATAAAAAAAATTGATCTCTTACAAAAACGATTTCATGGTATCTTTTTTCCTACGAAATTCTTGATATTATGAAATAGTTAATGCGTTGAATGAAGGTGAAAATCAAGAAATGATTTGGTTGGTGCATTCTACAGCTCATTCCTTCGTAAGATTATGACATCCTAATCACTAGTACTATAATTAAGAAGCGATCTGCCTAATCTCCAAATTAGAGCAAAAGTATACTCACACTTTTAAGCAATAATCAACGTATAAACTTTTAAGGCTCATTGATTAATCTCTCTTTGAAGTTAAACATTTGCACGAATTTAGTGTAATATAATCAACATTTAGAGGAAGCAGAATAAATTATGAAACAAAATTCATAATTATATATTTATTTCTTAAATTTATATGTGTCAAATAATGTCGCATATATTGAAAGTATAAGCCAAGGGGAATAAATACGGTAAAATCTCACTAAATTAATATTCGGTTAATTCATAACCTCTCTAAGATAATATTTTTATTTGGTCCTGACTTGGTCCAATGGGAAAAAATTACTCATTTCGATAAGATAATAAGATAATATATTTTTAGAAAACCCCTATATAAATATCTGGTCCCATTAATATTATAAATTAATAATTCGTTAAAAGTATAAATATATCTAAGATAATCTAGTGAAACATGATTCTATTGTGTTCTATTTTTTGTTAAAATATAACTATTATTGAAGCTCATCTCTAACTTTTCTTATTATATCCAAAAAAATTGGTGTTGTCTTTTCAAACTGCACCATAAAAATGTGAGGAGTTCTAAATGTGATAAGTGTTTCCTTATCCGTAACTAATTCTAAAAGTATAGTATCATTTTCTACTTTATCATCAATATTATTTTTTTCAATGGTATCCACAATTTATTTTAAGTTTTGGACCTTTGAACATGTATCATTTTCATTCATCCAACAAGTTATTAACGTCTATTTTATTGGGGTAACCGAGATCATTAATCATTGCCACAAGTTCATAAATGCAGTTTTCTCGAGTGAGTTCATTTAAATTCTCTGAGTTTCAATCCCCAAATGAATAAATATTAAAATTAAGTGTGGTGTCGAAACACTCTTAAAATTAATAAATATTAATTTATTGATTAAATAATATCTCTATAAAATAAAATTTCTCCATTCACTTTTATTTGTCGTGTTATATTTTTTGAAAGTATATTTGACTAACAAGATGCACCTAAGTGACAAAAATATCCCTGCGTCCGACGTGGTGGCACGCTTGCATCTTATGTCATTTTAGTCAACTCCTCAAACGTACATCACACTCCTCTCTCTCCCTTCCTCTTCTCTTTAGGGTTTTTCATCTCGATTCATCACACATGGCCGGAATGAGACTGTTACCGGAGGACCCCGACGTCGCGCAGGTCCGACCAACGGCAGCAGCCGACCTGATTTCCGACGACGACCGCTCTGTGGCGGCCGATTCGTGGTCCATAAAGAGCGAATACGGAAGTACTCTCGATGACGAGCAGCGCCACGCTGATGCTACTGAAGCTCTTAATTACCGAGCCGATTACAGGTTCTTATATGGAGAGCATTAACTTCAGTCTTATTCATATGACTCTGACTCCGTCACTATGTTTCAATGAACCTGAGGTTGAAGATGTTAAATTAATTTATGGATTATATTAATTGAACTGGAAAACATTAAGATACTACTACATTTTTTTAAAAAAAAAACTTAAGATAGTACTCTACCAGTTAAAATTTGTATAGAAAAATAAATCATTCAAAGTTTAAGAAGTTGTATAGTTAAACGAATTTGAATAATTGAATGTTGTGTGAAGATTATGTAGAATAATAGTACTATTTTTTTTTAATAATGTCAAATATTTTGATAATTCTAAAATGATAAAGTGTTGTATATATTAGGATGGAGAAAAAATAACCTGCATGAAGGTGTAGCTTTATCAAATTATGATTACTTTTCTCTTATCCATTATTGAGCCAGAGAACACTATGGCAGAGCTAAGTAGTGGTGGTAATTAGAGGTCAATATATCTGTTGAGTGCAGTTTGTAAAGTTAAGTGAATAAAGTGATAACTGCAGTCTTCATTGGGCGTTGTATACAGTTGTTAGAAGAGATTATCTATTAGAAACCCGCTCATATTATATTTTGCTTTTTGTTTGTGCAGAAGGTTTACAAACTTCTTTTTCTTATTTTTTGCATACGAGCAGTTCTGACAAAGATGAGCAGGAAGGTGAAGGAGTTTCTTCAATGCTTGGTTTCCAAAGCTATTGGGATGCTGCTTACGCTGATGAATTGGCAAACTTTCGTGAGCATGGTCACACTGGTGAAGTTTGGTATGGATTAGCTAGACGACAGCTTGCAACCTTTTCCCTCTTCCTTGATCCACTTTACTATTGTGTTATCCTCGTTCTTTTAATTGTGATACTACCTATCAATTAATCAACTACCCCTCCTCCATCTCAAATAAAATTGGGTCTGTTATATGAATCCTTGGGAGCTATTATATGCCATCTTGATCCAAATCATTCCTATACTATGTTACATAAAACAATTATGCCTTTTAAGGCAAATTAGGAGTTCTCTAAAATCCTTTTTATTTATGTAAAGAAGATCTACAGCCTAGCACTTTTGATGATTGGCTGGTGTAAAGCTAAATTTAGCTCTTTGTGATAGTTTTATCCCACTAATAGATAATGATTGTAATTTGCCTGGTCTTGCTTTCCCCTTTTAGTCTTTTTACAAGGTTTACATTCCAATTCCCAAATAGGAAACCAGGAAAAGAAGTGAGAGGGTGGTGCTTGCATCACTGGATCATTATGTTGGTCAAACAGATTTGTTGATGTGTATATTTTTTCTGTATTTGTATAGGTTTGGTGGTGACGTCATGGAAAATGTCGTCTCTTGGACCAAAGGTTTGTGCATGGACATTTGCAAGAATCATTTGCCAAATCACGTAGCTGATGCCGATTCTGAGCCTGTTGGGCAGCGTGAGAAGGACATGTCAGGTTGGAATGTGCTTGATATTGGGACTGGCAATGGTCTGCTTCTCCAAGAGCTTGCTAAACAAGGGTAAGTTTGAATTTTATGCTAGCAATACTTCTAGTTAGCTATTTGCTTCGTTGGTCATTCTGTAACTGATAGATGTGCTTTCTTTTCTGAGATGCTTTTGATGCACATGCTCTATAATCTGTTACAGAGCCACACTGTAAAGGTGAAAACTTTTGTGGATTGCCTAGTTCATTGAGTATTAAGAAGTTAGCTGTTGTGAAGGTTTGTTTATGATTTTTTGACCATTCATCACATGCCCTGCTAGATGATCAACTTTTTCACCATAAAATTATATTGCTACTAGAGAATCAATGAAAGGTATAGAGTATTAAGCAGTTAGCTGTTGTAAAGGTTTGTTTACGGTTCTTTTAACCATTTATCACATGACTTGCTAGATGATCAACTTTTTCACCATAAACGTATCTATTAGAGATTCAATGGAAGTTATAAAAAAATATACTCTTTTGTTCCCTTTTCTTGTGACGCCATTTGATTAGGGTGATCAACAGTTGGTAAAATGTTTTTTTTTTTTTCAAAAGACAAATTTTTGTAATTGGTTTATATGATTAAGTGTTAGTGAAAGAAATAGTTGAAAAGTTAGTTTATAGTGAAAATCATATAAAGTGTAAATTTGATTAGTTAAATGAATTTTAATTCGTGAAACTCTAAAACTCAGTAAGGCTGCATTACATGATTATTTTAGTCTAATTGTTACAAATTTAGGATATCCTAGATGGAATGAGCCCCCATAAATTATGAAATGGATGGCAGAGAGATTATCAAGAAAAACTGCAGAGACTGTTGGGCAATGATTAACAGAAGAACAAATCCGTTATAAGATGAATTATGAATATTTTCTTCAAGTCAAATGATTATTTTCTCATATTGGCTTACACTGTGCCATTACTTCTTTTCAATCCCAATATGTCCTTGTTTAGAGGTTCTTTGGTCTTTAACTGCAGGCACAGAACCTAGATAGGTAATACGGATATATTTTAATAATTCTTTGAGAGAGAACAAGTGTCTGTAGTTTCAATGGTATTATACCTACATCACATCATGCAGTTCAATAAGCATGTGTATTCCTGCGGCTTGTGCTGGGGTGGAAACATCTCAGTGCCTCTTGTGGTTAATATAGGTTACGAGATTTTACGTCTTTCTTATCACATCTACATCTTTTAGCTTGTACAAAAAGTGCTCAGGTCTTGTTATATTTAAAACCTACTAGTTGCTTCTTGGGAGTATTTGTCTGTTAAGAAATTTTATTTAATTTTTAGTGTCAAACGTTCTTGATATATATGCCTTCTGGGGGAGGGGGTGGGGGGAACTCGAAGATTATTACTTACTAATACTCATTAACTATGGCATTAGGTTCTCTGATCTCACTGGAACTGACTATAGTGAAGGAGCAGTTGACCTTGCAAGAAGCCTTGCTGATCGTGATGGCTTCACTAATGTCAAGTTCTTGGTAAAATTTGCCTTTGTCTTTCAATTAAGCAAATGTGTAATATACCCACAGCAGCATCTGAGTCCAGTGTAAAAAAGAAAAGGAAAGTAGGAAACACGTGCTTCTCTAGATTGCATTCAAAATTTTGTGGCAAATAACCGTCTTTCTACTATGTTCTAAATGTTAAGCAGTGTCATTTATTCTTTGTTGTTGGTAACCCGTTACTGTCTGGTAGCTGCATATACAGATAGTAGCAAGTTAAAATTACTTTTACTTCTGAATGTTTCCCCGTAATCCTGACATTTTCAATTGTGTCCGCATGGAATGAACCTTTATTATTTTCTGTATTGAAAGATATAATAGCACTTGTTATGTATTCAGTGATCAAGGGTAGGAACAAGGTGCTAAATTAATGCCGAATTTTTGCATAGGGTAGAACCTGTCTTACCAATTGCGATCAATGATTTTATTAGTTTCATGTCCTTGTCATGTGTGCTTATTTATCTGTATCTGTGCTCTCATTGCTGGAGATGGGTTCTTTTAGTTTTGTGGTTAAATAAATTTCTATTGGCTAACAGGTTGATGACATTCTTGAGACAAAATTGGATAAAAGGTTTCTGCTAGTTATGGATAAGGGGACCTTAGATGCGATTGGATTGCATCCTGACGGTCCTATCAAAAGGTAGCAAATCCTGTATGTTAAGTATGGTATCAAAGTAGGTAGAGATCCCAAGTTCAAGTAATACTCCACCCATCCATTTGTATTAATGTTGCTCATCAACAAAATATTTTCATGTGCTTCGTCCAAGAACTAAAATAAACAAATAATAATTAAAATGTCACTCTCTAAAAGTGTTAACACACCCTAAGGTGTTCCTTGATTATTTTACCTATAGCACTACAATTCTATGTCACATCTTTATTGTGTGGTCATTTCAGGATTATCTACTGGGACTCTGTTTCAAGGCTTGTCGCTCCTGGTGGACTATTGGTGAGTCCATCCTGCTTGTCCTGTTTATAAATTTTTTTTCAGTGCCAATTCTTCTCCAATTGCTGTTATTAATTTGAAACATGCTGATTAAATACCACCACACACCCTTCCACTAGCGTAAAAAAGAACATATGCAGAGACATTGTAGAGATTGCGATGTTGGACCTGAGAATTATATTCCAATTAGATACATTCTCCGACAACTTAGCATCATATAATTCTGTTCTATCGACATTTTCTGTCTGTCTTATTGACTGTTTCCCAGTTGATCCTTTCTGATAAAATGGCACACGGTTATCTATTTTTTTGTGGAGGGAGTCATCATGATAAATAATTAGCCGTTACACCTTCTTTCACCTGACTGGGGTGTATTGTAGGTAATTACTTCATGTAATAGTACAAAAGATGAATTGGTAGAAGAAGTGTATACTCTCAATCAAAGAAGGGTTGCTTGTCAAAGACCAGGAACAGTCGAAGGCCAAGAGGCCTCAGTAGATCCTCCTCCTTTCCGCTATCTTGATTACATTCGCACATATCCTACATTCACATTTGGAGGATCAGTAGGCTCGCGTGTAGCAACTGTAGCATTCCTGAGGAACTGAATTATTACTTTCTCGTCATTTTGGGTGCATTACTACCCTTTTTTGTAACGTCGTGCAACCGTGGAGGATTTCTTTGGGAAGACCATTTCTGATTTATGCAAGGTGAAGATTAATTGATCTAGTTTTTGTATAGGGTAACGTCAGTGCTACATTAACAGCATTGAGATCATCAAATGACCCGTGTTAGATGGAAAAATTGTTCTTAAGTCAATGTAATGTCATTGGGGATATTGTTTGATGGAACACTTCTTTAGCGCACTGAGGATTCTTTTATATGAAAATCGACCAAACTGAGAGAAGAGCGGAACTCGTAAAAACTCCCTCACCACCAACAAGGTGGGAGTTGAGGTAACCAACCAACTTATTAAGATTTCGCTTAAATTCATGACATTTTAAAATGAAAAACAAATAAGGCGTAAGTCACACTCCTCGAAAGGTCCAAATGATTTAATTGGATAACCGAGTGTAGACAAGGAGGGAGGGAGGGAGAGTGTGATAATCTACATTAATAGCTAACAGAAAGGCAATGAATTATGAATAATACACAGGTATTAATCACTCAGCCTAAGCTGTTATCTTCTTCATAAACGACAAATAGATTTTTTTTAAAAATGAAAAAAAGAAGATAAAACTGTTTTTTGTTCTTTTGCTGAATATTTATTAGATTCGTACAAGAAATCATCTTCTTTTTTAATGTTACGCAACCTGTATTGCATCTATATTTTACGTGAGAGAAATTAAATTACTACTAATATACATCAACAAACGATCACTTTCATATATAAAAGTTAATTTTGGGGTCAATATGTGTTGAGATGGACAAAAAATTGTTAAATGTTTATTTTGACGGAGTATAAATTAAAGGGAAAGAAAAAGACGAATCCATGTAATACAGGTTGCGTAGTGGTCTAGAAAACATAACTTATTAAGCACTCAAGAGTGTTGCCTAGTGGTCAATGAAATGGTTGAGAATCATGAGGTCTAAAGACAAAAAAAACACTATGTAATTCATTTCATTTGTCCAAGCATTGATGGACAGAGACACAAAGTTACCTGGTACCTGTTGTGCAAAAATTGGTCCAAACACCACGGTCATTGAAAAAGGAAAAAGCACCACAGCTTGCAAAGATTTGAGATAATAATATAGCAGAGCTTGTCTAAAAATAAGCTCTGCCAATACAAATGTGAAAATGAAAATAATGGTATAGTTATAATTACAAATATTATAAATTCAACACTGATCATGACCATATGCTCAGTTTCAATGATTAAAATGAATTAATGAGAAGGGAAGTTAGGTAGAGGCAAAGAGAGCAGCCGAGAATAGTAAATCCAATAGTCCCACCAACCATCCAAATAAGTTCAACAAATTCATCCAATTGTTTCTTGTGTTTCTTCTCATAATATAATTTTGAATTTGTAGGTGTGTAATTCCAACCTTGTTCACATACCAAACATTTCTCCAATCTCTCTTTCATCTTCACTTCTTCCATCCTTCCCCTCAATACTTGTAAATTTGCATCAACAACATGCCTTGATTTTCCTGAAACAAATTATTTTCTTATTTAAGGTGCGATAGTACAAAAATAGAATTTAACTTTATATATACTGATAATATAACGAATTATCAATGTTTTTTTTACCTATGGTAATAGGCTACATTTGCTTTGTCTTTCTAGTTTGTACTAACCAATCACTTGTTACGAATAACTACTTACAACATATGGGATTTGAACTTGTGATCTAAAACAACATTCGAACCTCATGTCACTTCACTAGTTTTGCTCCTTATATCTAGGGAATTCAAAATATAGCTTATATGAAAAAACAAATCAATTCATTTAATTTGCCCTGTCGATACGGTAAGCGATTTTCCAGTGGAAGGGTTTCACTAATTATCTTTTAGGTGATGTGATAGCGTAGTTTAGAGAAGAAAAACTCATAAAAATAAAGCGGATGTAATTAAATAAAAACAAAAACACACACGTATATATAGATATACCTTCATCTCTATAGATCTGAGCTCTGATTTTGGGTAGTTTTTGAGGAATCCTGAATTTGGCTGGAAAAATAACAATTGATGAAGAAGCCATATGTATTGTTTGTTTATAAGAAATGGCAATTAGTCTTATGCTTAATTGCTTGCTTCACGTTTCACACATATATATATATAACTTCGTCAACGCGTAATCTGATTAATTAATTATTAGAGTTTTTCCTATTTTGATTTATATTTAATTACCTAATTAATGTTGTTTTGGTTTTTTTTAGCAAGTCAAGTAATTAATTAAATATATAGCCAAATAGCAGACAGCATAAAAATCATCAATTAGAATTTGGTGATGAGGAATGATATAAAGTTGAAATTTTTTAACCCAAGCAAAATAGTTATAGTGCGCCGGCAAATAAGAAAATTAACAGAATCTGAATCTGAACTAACTAATATGTAGTATGTACTCATATTTTATTTTTTTACAAGTTTGCTTCTGGTTCTGGATTAGGACGTGTTTGGTATGGAAATATATTTCATCTTTATGTTTTTCATATTCGGTTCGTCAATTTTTTTTTGAAAATATAAATTACTTCAAAAATGATAATCTCCTATTACAATTTACTAAGCAAGGAAAATAAGTTTTAAAAAAATATTTTCTCAAAATATATATATATATATGTTTCTTGTATATGTACTCCATCTGTTCACTTTTTGAATCATGAAAGTTAATTTAAGTAATTTTTAAAGCTAAATTAAATTACATTAGTTTAATAATTTAAATTTAAGATTTTGATATTATTTAAAAATATATCTTCAATCAAAATTCATACAATTTAACTCTCAAAAAGTAAAATACGATAAATAAAAATAAGTGAGTACATGATTCATGAACCATGCTGATTTTGAGACTCTGCGTGGATAGCACCAGGAGTAGAAATAATGTTTTATTCAACAACCATGTCGTATTATCTGTTTAGTTAGACTTAATTATAATTCTTATAGTTTTTTTGTTTTTGTTTTTGGATAATCTTATTTATTCTTAATCATTGAATACACTATGATTTGGATTGGCAAAACTAATCCATGAAAATAGAACTTACCCCTAAAGTTTGAATGGATTAATGATCAACTAATTTAGTAGTTCAAACCTTTATTGTCTGCACAATATACATCAACTCATCTATAGTTAGGCTAATTTGGATTTTAAAGAAAGTCGAAATCAAATCCTAAAAAACTTAATGAAATTAAGGTTTTTAGTTTTTGATATCATTTATGTAACCATAATAAATTAAAGATGATTTTTGTTGTTGTTGGATAATCAAGCAGACTATAAGAAAACAACATAAAATTGTGTAAAAGATGGACGAATTGGACATCGACTTATTATTTAACTCATGACTTGTTATTTCATCTCAAGTAACTTCTAAATAAGTTATTAATTAATCCGCAGTTATTTATAGTTATATCAGTCAATTTTAATCTGTCCAATGCACTTATTTTAGACTGCTAGCTAGATATGAGAATTAATTAATGCAAATAAATAAGATGGAAGCAAATGCCAACTTTTAGGAAGGCGTCGCAAAATTTGTCATAAACGGAAGGACCAACTTAGTTAGGTTTAAAGCCTAAAAATGATCGAAATGGGAACCACTTAATTAACCATGCATAGAATTGTCTTGTTTCTGGATAATCTGTAATTTTAATTTTCTATGTATCATATTTAAGATCATAAATTTAAAAGATATTTTGATACATTTCACATATTTTCAATTAAAGATCATAAGATAAATACAAAAATCTTTTTTTGTTCTTAAAGTCCGTATCAAATAAGAATCAGATAAACAAATTAAAACAAAAAACTAACAAATATGTAAAAACAATTGGAATTTCCAGTGATCATAAAAATTATGAGGGAACTAATTATAATGAGTACGTACATATATTAACATTTCTTAAATTTATAATGAGTGCGTATATCCTAATAGAACGTGATTAGTTAAATTTCTTATATATATATTAACTATTTCTTAAATAATATTTTCCTGTACAAATAAACGCCCGCCATGGTCGTATATATTTAACAATTAAACCTAGTACAAAGTAGTCATATTATTTTTTAATGTTAAGCAGCCCCAACTTGTCACATAAACTCGTCTTTCTTTCCCTTTTATATACCAAAAAGGAAAATTACACATATTCAAGTAACTTAATTTATATATATATCTTAATTTAATTTATACGCGTAACAAAAATATAGACACATATTGACCCCAAAATTATCTTTTATACACCAAAATGCACATATTCAATATTTTTATTTGATATATCTTAATTTATTTTTTATACCTAGCTAAAATACAAAACGTGTAAAATATAAGTGTAGTACGCGATTCGTAAAGATAAAATAATGAATATATACACATACCAGACAACATAAAACTCAACAATGGAATTTAATTTGGTGTTTAAGTACGATATAAAATTGAATTTTTTGAACCAAAACAAAATTTGTTTAGGTGGCGATAATAAAATATAGGGAATTTGAAGTTAACACTCATATTTTACTCTTAGAAGTTATAATTTTATGATTTACTAAGTCAATATTAGAGTTAATATATGTTGTAATTAAATATACATGCATCAACCATGCTGACTTTTGAAACTGCATGGATAGTACCAAAAGTATAAATGTAATTTTATTCAACAATCATGCATGTCGTATTATCTGTTTAAATTAACCATTGTTATTATTTGATTATATTTCTTAAAGTAGTTGTTAGATATCTTCTTAATCACGGGGTAAGAGATGATTAGGTATTAATGCCTATCCAGATATCTTCTTTATTACCGGATATGAGATGATTAGGGGCGACAAAATTAGTTCATATAAACTTAATAAATCTTCCAACTCGTTTAAATTATTAGAAGGATTAGTGACTCATTTATTTACCAGCTCAATTCTTTTTTTATTCTGCTAACTGAATCCATTATAAAATTAGATTGATTTGTATTAAAATATAGTCAAAACTGATTAATTCATAATTTTTCTTTTTTATTTTTCAGTAATGAGAAACAAATGCCTACTTTTAGGAGAGTATCGCAATATTTGTCACAAAATATGGGAGGACCAAGCTAAGTTTGGTCGTCTGTCGATATTGGAACCATGTTTTTCTTCGGCTCAAATAAATTGTACATAAAGTTATGGTATTTTTTCGTTCAATTTGTTTTGTTCTACTTTTCTTTTTAGTCTGTTCTTTTTTAAATGTTTTTTTTTCCTTTTTTGAAAAATATTCCACATAACATGTATAAGACTAATAGATAAAAAGGTTAATCTTGATATATTTGACACATATTTAATTTAATACCATAAAATTTAAAAATCTTCTTACATTACATTTCAAATTAAAATAGAATAAATAAATTAAAGGTGGAATGACCTGGAAGACCCATGTACTTGGCTCCGTTTGTAAGTTGGACCCTCCTACTTATCAATTTGTCAACCGAACCCCTAAACTCATCAGGACACAATATTTTAAACCCCTTTGACCATTGACTGAACTTATGTGGCATTGATAATGTTGAGTTGGAAATTTACGTGAATACACGCGTTTGACAACGAGTAAATAAGGTGTTTTACATTAAAAATATTTAAATAATAATAATAATTATCAATTAAATATTTATTTTTTAAAAAAACCATCTTCCTCAATCATCCCTCCCACATCCCTCTCTCCTCCATCCCCAGCCCCCCTTCTCTCTTCTTCTTGGAATTTTATCCACCACATCCACGCTCTTCCTCTTGATTCTCTCCTTCATCCCCTTTCTTCTCAACCCACACTTCTTTTTTTCACTACATTTCAGCCGCCCACCCTAACCATTTAGTCTAAAAGTCTTTTAGATTTTAGGTTTTTAGTTTAAAAGTATTGAGATTATTAGTATTTGTTTTTTTAGGCTTCAATGGATTAACACGAATGATAATGGTGGATATTGAAAAATTAAAATTCAATTGATAAGTTAGAGAAAGCTTGAAAAATAACAAATGGGTCTTGTGATTGTGAAATTGATTCAAAATTGTGATTGGGATTAGTTGGATTTGTGGTGGTGAACTTGTATTTGAATTTTCAAGTCAAATGAGGAAAAATCTCATCTATTTGACATGAATTAAGTGTTCAATTTGGAATAAATATGAAGAACATGCTTATTTGGAATTTATTTATTTTTTAAAAAATGCTTATCTAAAATTTTCAGAAATTACAAAAGGGACTTAATTGATTTTTTTTAATTTTTAACATGTAATTTCTTACATGTCATTTTTAATGACATGTAATTCCACGTGTAAGCAATTGTACTTCACACACATTAGTGAGATGAGAAAAAGGTTTAAAATATTACATTCTGATGAGTTTAGGGATTCGGTTGACAAATTAATAAGTAAGAGGGTCCAACTTACAAACGAAGTCAAGTACATGGGTCTCCCAGGTCATTCCGCCTAAATTAAAACGAAAAGAACAATGGAAGGACATAAAGGAGGAGGAGTTGGATTTAAACGAACCAAAAGTTGTAATAACGTCAAAGTCGTCAAATACTGAATTATATACTTTGGGACTTTGAGACTTCAAGTGGGCCGACCAGGTCTTGGGCCCCCAATTACACGAAAAACTATTTTTAGAAACAAAATTCATCAAAGTTTAAAATTTGAATTGTTTAATCATGGAAAAATTACTTAAATACACAACACTTCTTTACCTATTTTCAATATTTCCCTACTCTTTTACTAAAATACAAAAATCCCTTATTTTCCCCCAATTCAACTTAACCGGATACTTTATTAGTTTAAGTATCTGCCCGTTATTAATTAAAGTATCCGCGCTGCTATATTATGCATCCGCCCGTTAATTAAGTATTCGTGCTGCTAACAACTTAATAATTTAAGTATCTGCCCGTTATTAATTAAAGTATCTGCGCTACTATATTAAGTATCCACACTGCTATATTATGTATCCGAAAAACACTAATAAAAGGGATTTTTGGTAATTAATGAAAGAGTAGGGAAAGGAAGTAATTTCTTTCTTATACTATGTCATTTGCCTAATTTTTACTTTAATCATTATAGACCTTACTCCCTCCGTCCCTATTTACTTGTCCATATTTTCTCTTTTAGATGTCCCTATTTACTTGTCCATTTTGACAAATCAAGAAAGGACAAAAAAAAATTTCCTATTATACCCTCATTTAAACTTCTTGAAAATTTAAACTTTCCCAACATTGATTAGTTATCTTGAATAAATTTATTTTGGAATCATAATTAATAAGGGTAAAATTGTAACTTCACTATGCTAATCATTTTTGCCTTAATATGTGTGTCATTTCTAAAGTGGACAACTATATAGGGACGGAGGGAGTATAAGATACTCCCTCCATCCCTATTTAGTTGTCCATATTTCCTCTTTTAGTTGTCCATTTTGACAAATCAAGAAAGGACAACAAATTTTTCCTATTATACCCTTATTTAAATAAAGTTGTCATAAATAAAGTAAATAAACTTATGAACTTCCCAGCATTGATTAGTTATCTTGAGTGAATTTATTTTGGAATTGTAAATTGTACTATAAGGGTAAAATTGTAACTTCACTATGCTAATCATTGTTACCTTAATCTGTGTGTCATTTCTAAAGTGGACAACTAAACAAGGACGGAGGGAGTAGGTATTTATAAGATAGAATTGTGTCAAAATTTTAAATATATAAAAAACAAAGGCATATAAAATTTGAAATCACGATTGTTATAGTCTTTCACGGATTCGGCTCCTCTTCATTTCTCCCAAGTTCTAGTTTGGATTGGAGACACATGTCATAGTTTAAAATTAATGGTTGAGATCTAATTGATTAAAGCAAAGTCTTAACCATAATTATTTAATTCCATATATTTGTTTCTTAAATATTTTTGCAATCCATAAAATTTTCCATAAATATATTTTAAAAATTTCTTTACTGCCATGCATACATATTTAAAACTTTTACTAATTTTTATTTTTTTTGAAAAAAATTATAATACAGTTAAACGTTTTTAATATTCTAATAGAGTATTAAGAGCTACGGTGTCTATAGAGCAATATGGACTCCATTTAGGGAAAAAGAAAAAAAATAAAGTTGAATGGCAAAATTTATTTTACTCTTAAAATAAATAAAAAACGTCATGTCACAATTTTTAATTTTTTTATTTGGCAAATATTATTTGAGAAATGGAAAACGTTAGGGAAAAAAAGTAAAATATCAACAAAAAATTACTCATATAATTAAGAAAAGAAATTCTTTTAATTGTATTTAGGAAAAATATAATGTAAATCTAGAATTGTTGGATTGCAAAAATATTTAAGAAGCAAATATATGAAAATAAATAACTATGGTTAGGACTTTGCTTTAATTAATTAGATCTCAATTATTAATTATAAACTATGACATGAATCTTCAATTTAAAGCTAAAACTTGGAGAAAATGGAGAGGAGCCGGATCCGTCTTTCACATGCTTTGTTTGAAATGCCATCATTATTGTTTGAGAGAATAATACAGCTTTTATGATTATTTCATATATCCCCATTACAAATAATTAAATTCTATTAGGGATTTCATAATTTTTAGTTTGAAGGTTAAATACTATGTTCATAACAATAAACTACCTTGATTTAATACAACTTTTTACTTTGAATATGAATATGAATATTGTGCAGCTCTAAAAAAAAGAGCTCAGAATTCTAGAATAATAATATAAATAAAAATATCGTAAATACAAAAAACTTTTGTTGATTGTGTTAGTATTATGTAATTTTTGACTAGGAAAAACATGAAACTGTCCAGGGAGACTGTATTGTGACACGTGGCTGAATTAGTAGGTCTTCACACAACCATCATGAACGGTCAAGATTAAAAAACGTGGAAACAAACCCTATATACATTTTTAGAGGCTAGATATAGAAAATTAGAAACAAAAAAGGAAAAATAATTAAATTTGAAATTTCTTCTAGAGTAGTCTTCTCTCCAATTCCTTCAATCAAACCCTATATATTAAGAAATAGATACGCCGCCCCATTTATTCACCTTTATATATTTTATTTTAACCCTAAATCTTCCTTCACCAATTCCTCATTCAATCGGTAAGATTTCTATTTACTGCTATTTTTTCTCTACTTTTGATCAATCGGAACTGTTGATTCAATGCCGCTTTCCTGTTTGTAATTTATGATTTATCAATGTGTTTATACTTGTCTAGTTTTGGTATAATGTCAATGGCGGAGTAAATTGTACCAAATTTATATGTATAACCATTATCGATGCTTCTGTTCCGTCTCTCTCTGATTTATATGAGCTAGTTATGAGTATCTAGCAATTGATAGGTATCTTTAGTTTTGATGATTGATGCATGATTTGTGAAATTTTAGATGGTCGGAGCATGGAACCCTAATTTATTAAGCTATTGCAATTAGTAGGCTATGGGTTTTGAAGAACTCTGATCAATTCTATATTGAAGACTAGGCCATTAGTGAGCAACTTATCTCTTGAGTCCATTTTTTTACAATACTAATAGGTTTCTCTTTTAGCAAGTGTTACAGTAGTTTGCTATTCAGACCTTTTGAGATTTATAATTTTAGAACAAGTGGACTGTAGTATACAATTCAGAAGCTCAGATACACAATGAGTAAATTGCCCAACTAATGATATGCTTTACCGGGTAAATATGCCCAAGTAATAAGAACAGTACCTATAGAGTTCTATTTATTCATATACATAATTTTTCTGGGACATGGTTTTCCTTAAATTTAAAGCTACTTGCTTTAGCTATACAACTGAAACAATCGGGTTAAAAATCTCCTTTCTATCTATGGTGGAAGCTAAATCTGCAACCTGTTATTAATTATCATTTTTCCCTTTATATATTTTTACATTGATTATATTTAGTAACGGGTTTTTATTTTTCTTTTACCACTTACTCTTTTATTGAGAAGGTAACAAGAGCTTACTTTTTATCTTTTGATGTGGTTTTTCTTTATGAAGGTTGTGGGCATCTTATCTGCGTGGGTTTCAAGTTTTAGTTTCTCAAGTTGAAGCTTCTTTTATGTCCGAACAAGCCACCATCTGTTTGGGATACGTTGGATTGCTTGGAGAATATTGTCCAACGTCAAGAAAAAAGTGTAGTCATATTTCTGATAGGGTTGACTGTATGCATCTTGACTTATTTCAGGAAGGACACATAGAGCTTAGTAGTTGCACCCAGACACAGCCTTCTCTCAACAAATTTTGGGCCGAAGGATCATCTGGAAACCCCTAACACTTTATTTAGGAAATTTCACTGAATCAAATATGGCTTTGCAGAATATTGGAGCCGGCAACAGTGATGATGCCTTCTACAGGTATAAGATGCCGAGGATGATTACCAAGATAGAGGGGCGTGGGAATGGCATCAAGACAAACGTGGTCAACATGGTTGACATTGCCAAAGCTCTAGCAAGGCCAGCATCTTATACCACAAAGCATTTTGGGTGTGAGCTTGGAGCTCAGTCGAAGTTTGATGAAAAAACTGGGACTTCCCTTGTCAATGGTTCTCATGATACTGCCAAGCTTGCTGGTCTTCTTGAGATTTTCATCAAGAAATATGTTCAGTGCTATGGGTGTGGAAACCCTGAAACTGAAATCCTTATCACTAAAACTCAGATGATCCAACTGAAGTGTGCTGCATGTGGTTTTATTTCTGATGTAGACATGAGAGACAAACTGACAACCTTTATTCTTAAGAACCCACCTGAGTCTAAGAAGGGAGCCAAAGACAAGAAAGCAATGAGAAGAGCTGAAAAGGAGCGTCTCAAGGAAGGTGAAGCTGCTGATGAAGAGCTGAAGAAGCTGAAGACAAAGAAAAAGGTTTCTTCCAAGGAAGCCAGTGCAAAACCTACCTTGAAAAAGAAAGCCAGTGGCTCTGACGAGGATCATGCATCCCCACCCAAAAGGCATGTGAATGTCAGGGAAGAGGAGGAAGAAGAAGATGATGATGTTCAATGGCAAACTGATACATCAATGGCAGCTGCGCAACAGCGCATACAGGAACAGTTGAGTGCTGTGACAGCTGAAATGGTTATGCTCTCCACAAATGAGACAGAAAAGAAGCCCAAGGCAGCTACTACTCAAGCGCATCAAAGTACCAAGGTCATTTCTGCACCATCTGACAATGATCCCAAAGCTGAGAATGGAGAGAGAACATTTGAGACGCTTGTTGAGGAGGTCAAAGTACATCTAAAGATGGGTGTTACGGCCAGCCAGTTTCGATCTTTCTTGGATTCACTTTCTGGATCTCCTCAGGACATGGTTACTGCTGTCTACGAGGCACTCTTGGATGGTGTGGAGAAAGCGTTCGCCAAGGAGCTTATTAAGAAGAAAGGTTATCTTCTTGCTGCTGTTGGTCAAGAGGATGGGTCACAGCTACGTTTGCTCAGAGCACTGGAAGAATTCTGTGGGAAATCTAACCCGGCAGCTGTGAAGGAAGTAGCACTTGTTTTGAAAGCTTTGTATGATGCTGATGTGTTGGAGGAGGAATTTATAGTGCAGTGGTATCAAGAGGGTGTTGCTGGGGTTAAAAAGGACTCTAAAATTTGGAAGAATGTCAAACCTTTCATTGACTGGCTGCAGAGTGCTGAGTCCGAGTCCGAGGAGGACTGAGATCACAACTGTCGTTCCTTGTTTAGATTGTTCTCTGAAGGTTTACCTTCTATCATCATTTAGGCAGGTTCCTGCTTAGCGAGTGACTATTTACTAGTTCGGAATTCATGTTTTCCTTTATTTTTGGGTCTGTACTTTTATATTTCTGTCGTGTGTTGTGTGTCTGTCTTCTTTTTGATGTTTTAAGGCGAATAAGAATTCTTTGGGAAGTCTTAAGCTATTTATTCTTGTTGTGGGTGAATTATTTTGGAGTTTAAATGCATATTCAGTCTGAATAAACAGTAGGCATCAAAAAAATTTATCCAGACTGAATATGCATTTAAACAAAATATTATTGTGGTGAAAGTTGTTATTGATCTGAATATAGTAACTTTCTTGAATTATTTGGAGTTTAAATGCCTATTCAGTCTGTGAATAAATATGCATTTAAACTCCAAATAATTCAGATCAATAGCAACTTTCTTGAATAAACAAAATATTATTGTGGTGAAAGTGCTGACGCTATTGTAATGCTAGCTCATTTTCTTCATCTGATGAGACAATCTTTGGGTGACGAGTATCCCCAAAACAAAAATAAAGGGAAGAGATAAAAAAGAACACTATTAAATCGTGGTTTCAAAATGCAACAGTAGGTAGGGCATCAAATAAATTTTGAAATCGCGATTATTATAATCTTTGACGTACTTTGTTCAAAATGTCGTCATTATTATTTGAGAATAATATAATTTGTATATTTCAATTATTTTTTTTCGAATATTCCCATTACAAATAATTAGATTCCCCGCTCCATCTGGATATTATATTACAGCTATTTGGGGGTTCAATAATTTTGTGTGTGAAGGTTAAGCATGTTCATAACAATAAACTACCTTGATTTAATACCACTTTTAATTATATGCCAATTCTAATATGCAGGTTAAAATTAAATTATTAAACTTTTACTTAGTAACAAACTGACTTCCAAGCTAATTTTGGGAATCTATATATAATAATAATGCTGAATGAGAAAACGGTGATGTAACACTCTCTATGAGATTCAATCTTACTTATCTTTTTTATGGTTTTTTTTCTGCCATTTTTTTAAATTTTAAAATACAAAAAAAAATCATCTAAATATTAAAGATAGTGATTTTTGAATCTTTCTTCATCAATAGTCATATTTAATTTATTTTATCATTGATGCTATTATTCTCTTATCCTATAATATTGCTTAATTTATGCTTTTACTATTTTCTTCCCCAAATCTCACCATTAATGATATTTATATCATTTTCTTCAATCACTTTTTTTCTCTTTCTTTATTCTTTTTTTAAAATAAAATAAAATAATTCAATTCAAGATATAATATAAAAGGTATTTTTAAAAATATTTTTGTACGATTTTCCCTTAAATCTCATTATTAATGATGTTTATAACATTTTCTTAATAAATCACTACTTCAGTATTTTTCCTTTCTTTGTTCTTTTTTACTTATTTTTATTTTTTTATTCAATTCAAGAAATTTATATATCTATATAATATAAGGTATTTTTGTTATCTTCTTTATTTGTATTTTTCCTTTTATATATATATATATATATATTATTTATTTATTTATTTTGTGATTTTTTTTACTTTCTTTTCTAATTTTAAAAGACTTAATTTCATTTAAAATATTTACAAAACATTAAACATAGTCAATTAATAATATAGCCGAATTTGCTGAAACGCCTCTATTAAGTACCTATAAAGACACATTAATTTGAAGAAACAAAATAATAAAGCTTACGGAAAAGGGTCAAAATTGCCCCCGAACTATATGAAATAGACCATTTATACCCTTCGTTACATTTTGGGATCAAAAATGCCCCTATTGTTATCCTAAGAGACCACAAATACCCTCAAGAGTTAACACCCCAAATTTTTGTTGACGTGGCAAGCCACGTGGGACTAATCCTTCCACCTAAGCGTTGCCAACTAGGATTCACCACAAAAGAATTAGACCTTTAGCGGCAACAACAGTCGCCACAAAAGCCCAGAAAATCGTCACTAAAAGTTTTTAACATTAAATTCTAATTTTGTGTTTTTTTCTTCATTGTTTTTAAAAAACCAAATATGATATCGATTAAGTAGGAGTTTGAAGACACTATATGTTTTATTTTTATATCATATGTAAATGTATAAAATGTACAATTATGCATTATATTTATAAAGTAGGAGATTTGAATCGAGAAGTAATTTTGATTATTTTTCGTAATAATATTGGATGTTTTTAATATGGATATTGCAAGTTATTTATTTTAGAAAATTAGGTCGCAATCGAAAATTAATTATCATATTTTTTTGTTGAAAAAATAGGTTTTACTAGCGAATGGTTGTTGGAGCCTTAGTCGCCACGAAAAATCACTCATAACCTTTAGTGGCAATATTTTGGGATTTTGTGGCGACCACTAAAAGTCAAGTTCTTTTGTAGTGAATCTTAGTTGGCAATGCTTAGGTGGAGGGATTAGTCCCATGTGGCTTGCCACATCACTAAAAAATTGGGGTGTTAGCTCTTGAGGGTATTTGTGGTCTCCTGGGATAACTGCGGGGGTATTTTTGATCCCAAAATGTAATAGAGGGTATAAGTGGTCTATTTCGCATAGTTCAGGGGCAATATTGACCCTTTTCCGTAAAGATTATTAACTTTAGAAATTAGTAACTGTAATCATAAGTTGAAGTTTATGGGCACATTAATTTTTAAAATATTATTTTGTCTCTTCAACTTCATATCAGTTACCAATAATACCTATAAATTATCATATTGAAAACTTTTGTTTCTTCATCTTGTCTCTTCTTCGAATCTAAATTTTACAAATCAAAATCTTGATAATCATTTATGTTGTCGATTTGATAATGGGTAGATTTTGAGTTTTTCCGTTCGTCATCCAAGTATCTTCACGAGTTTACTAATCAACAAAAAAAAAATATTACTTGTTAGAATTTTGTTACATGCAAGGCATCAACTTTTTAAAAAGTCTTCATGTTCATTAATGTGCCTATAAAGAAACATTAATTTGAAGAAACGAAATAATAAAGCTTATTAACTTTAGAAATTAGTAACGGTAATCATAAGTTAAAGTTTATGGGCACATTAATTTTTTAAATATTATTTTGTCTCTTCAACTTCATATCAGTTACCAATAATACCTATAAATTATTATATTGAAAACTTTTGTTTCTTCATCTTTTCTCTTCTTCGTATCTAAATTTTACTAACCAAAAATCTTGATAATCATTTATGTTGTCGATTTGATAATGGGTAGATTTTGAGTTCTTGCGTTCGTTATCTGAGTATCTTCACGAGTTCACTAATCAAAAAAAAAATATATCACTTGCTGGATTTTGTTACATGCAAGGAATCAACTTTTTAAAAAGTCTTCATGTTCATTAATGTTTATTCTGCCTTTTTTATTCTCCTTGGTTTTTATTATTTTTTTTCCATTATTTTATGTAAGCAGATTTTTCTATGAATATGGTTATTAAGATGTGCTAAATTATCAAAAAACATTGAATATGAATGTTCTTGTTGTATTGAAATTGATTAATTTTATTATTTTCATTCTTTTTGCATATGAATGATTGGTTTTAGTGTTTAAAAATTGTTTGGTTAAATTCAAACTCCCGTGTCATATGTTTGGGTCAAGATTTATTCCTCAATAAAAGAGTATGAACTGAATGAAAATAATTTAAGCAAGGATAAATTTATTTTATTACTATTATAATAGGATAATTTACTATACTAAAATTCTCGAGTTTTATTTTTAACAAACAGTCTTAGATGAATTCAATATTTTACTTAATCAATATGTTATATTTCCTCCGGCTATTATATATATTTAAGTGGAAGTTTGTCTTGTATTTATTTTGTACGAGTTCGCCAATAAATTTAGTCCAAAATAATGCAAAAAGGGTAGTACATATGTTCATTCTAATAATGTTTTGTTAGTAAGTTAAAATCATATAATAAGGTGTAGTTGAACTTTCTTTCACAAGACAATGAGATAAAACCCAAAATATCTATGTACGAACAGGGTACAACTTACTAAAAACAATGTTCAGTTTTAATAGAGCAAATATCTCAATGAATCGAAGTAATGTAGATAGTTGGTCAATTAACCGCTTAAACTTAAAACGGTATGTATATGTACAATATGTATATAATTGTGTATGATTTATATATATAATTAGAAAAAATAAATAATAAATTTGATTGATTATTTGTGAAACATCTCGATGAAATTAGAGGTATTATATTTAAAATTTTAATTTTTACTTTTATTTCAAGTAGTTAAAAATAAAAAATTACCTTATATGTGCTAATAAGACAAACTTAACACTCTTATATTGATTTATTATGTCTACATGATGGACAAGGCTAAGAATGGAGACGGTGTTATGGCCTCCAAGCTCGTTAGGTCATTAGTATTTGCAGATCTTTAATTTTTGATTATAAATATAGTGTACATCATAAATAAATATAATTGATAACTGCGCGTAGCGCGGCTGAGTTACCTAGTTAGATATTAATCATTATATTTTTGAAATTCACCATTTTCCTTTAAAGGAGGAAGTAAATTAATAACTTTATGTAGTTTTATGGTAAAAAGTTTGAAATATCAATATCTAAATTTACTCTGAAGTTTAAATTTATTTACCCTTAAAAAGTATAGTTGAATTTGTTTGTGTGATCTAAACTCACGTAAATTAAACCAAACAATCTATATATACTAAAAAATAAAAATAAAATTGCAATAACAGATGACAAACAATTATTAGATCAATAATAAATATAACAAGGTAATTTTGAATATGAATTTTGTGTCGTCTTAAAAGAGAACTCAGAACCCTAGAGCAATATAAATCAAAAGTTTTGAATACAAAGAATTTTGTTATTGCAATGGTACAATAGTGAGTATTACGATGAGTACAAAGAGTAATAATAAGATTATTTATATCTAAACCCTTAAGAGTTCTATTTTCATAAATCTCACCCCATATGATCTCTCGATGGTGCATTTATCTTCATCTTATAATGTCGATGAAAATCTCACATGACGACGAGCTTGTTTAAGGATTCATGTGATCCAACAACTTCTTCGTACTTGGAATCAGGTCTCTAGAATTAGACGAGCTTAACACTCTAATATCGATCTCAGATATTTTCGTACCGATATCAGACTTGGCGAAAGAACCCTAAAACAATATAAAACAAAAGCCTTTTGTTGTTATAAATTATAAAATAGTGACTATGCAATGAGTTCAGAAAATAATAATAGGATTTTTTAATATCTAAACCCTAGAATTTTATTTCCGTAAATCTCACCCGTATGATCCCTCGATCGTGCATTTTTCTCCATCTTATAATGGTCAGTGAAAATTTCGAGATCTCACATAAGACAAACTTGTTTAAAACAACTTCTTATACTTGATGTCATTTATTTCTTGAGCTAGATAGACTCCACACCCTAAATCGGTCTCAGATATTTTCGTACCAATACCGAACCCTTATGCTTGCTCAAGTCCGACCTATTTTATCTGCCACATGTCGTTCCATTATATTAAACAAAACTATTCGTAAATTTTTTGACGGAAAAAACGTGAAACTGTGAAGCAGATTTTCATATGACACGTGGCCGAATCATATGTGACACAGACATAAAAACGGCCAAGATGAAAACACGTGGATTTATTTCAGAGGTTTAGATGAAAATTAGAAACAAAAATCAGGAAATAGAATTTGAAATTTCTTAGAGGGTCGGAGAAGTATCTGGATTGGTTTTACTCTTCTCTTCAATTCCTTCAAACCCTATATATTAAGAAATCTATACGCCGCCTCATCTATTCACCTTTATATATTTTATTAACCCTAAATCTTCCTTTACCAGTTCCTCCATTTTCTTCAATCAATCGGTAAGATTTCTATTTGTTCTCTACTTTTGATCATTCTCAACTGTTGATTCAATGCCGCTTTCGTGTTTTTAATTTATGATTTATCAATGTGTTTATACTTATCTAGTTTTCTTTTCTCTGTGTATAATGTCAATGGCTGACTAATTAGAACCAAATTTATATGTATAACTATAATCGATGGTTCTGTTCTGTGTTTCTCTGATTTATATGAGCTGGTTATGAGTATCTAGAAATAGAAATTGGTAGGTGTTTTAATATTAATTTGTGAAATTTTAGATGGTTGAATGATGTTTACCCTAATTTACTAAGCTAAGCTAATGCGATTAGTAGGTTATATTAACAATGGCTGGTTCGTTTAAGAGTAGGCCATTAGTGAGTGGGATATCTCTAATGGTTTTTTTTTTTTTTTTTGCTAGCAAGTGTTACTTTACTTTGCAATTCAGAAATACAGATATGCGATTTATGAGGGGTCTGTCGTTTGAGTTCTATAATTTTACAACTATATGTCTTTTAAAACGAGTGTTACTGTAGTTTACAATTCAGAAACTCATTGCCGAAGTAATGTTATGCTTTAGCGCATAAATATGCCCAAGTAATGACAACGGTACCTATAGCATTCTATTTATTTATATACATATCTTTTTCATTAAATTTACAACTACTTGCTTCAGCTATACAACTGAAACAATTGGATTGATAATCTCCTCTAAGGTGGAAGCAAAATCTGCAACCTGTTATTATTTATCAGTTTTCCCTTTTTTCTATTTTTACATTGCTTATATTTGGTAGCAGGTTTAAAAAAAAAATTCATTTACAACTTACTCATTTTTTATTGAGAAGGTAACAGGAGCTTACTTTGTATCTTGTGATGTGGCTTTTCTTTCTGAAGGTTGTGGGCATCTTACCTGCGTGGGTTTCAAGTTGTAGTTTCTCAAGTTGAAGCTTCTTTTATGTCCAAACAAGCCACTCTCTATTTGGGATCCGTTGGATTGCTTGGAGAATATTGCCCAACGTCAAGAAAAAGGTGTCATCATATTTCTGATAGGGTTGACTGTATGCATCTTGACTTATTTCAGGAAGGACACTTAGAGCTTAGTGGCTGCACCCAGACACAACTTTCTCTCAACAAATTTTGGGCCAAAGGAACATCTGGAAATCCCTAACACTTTATTTAGGAATTTTCACTGAATCAAAAATGGCTTTGCAGAATATTGGAGCCGGCAACAGTGATGATGCCTTCTACAGGTATAAGATGCCCAGGATGATTACCAAGATAGAGGGGCGTGGGAATGGCATCAAGACAAACGTGGTCAACATGGTTGACATTGCCAAAGCTCTAGCAAGGCCAGCATCTTATACCACAAAACATTTTGGGTGTGAGCTTGGAGCTCAGTCGAAGTTTGATGAAAAAACTGGGACTTCCCTTGTCAATGGAGCTCATGATACTGCTAAGCTTGCTGGTCTTCTTGAGATTTTCATCAAGAAATATGTTCAGTGCTATGGGTGTGGAAACCCTGAAACTGAAATCCTTATCACTAAAACTCAGATGATCCAATTGAAGTGTGCTGCATGTGGTTTTATTTCTGATGTAGACATGAGAGACAAGCTGACAACCTTTATTCTTAAAAACCCACCTGAGTCTAAGAAGGGTGCCAAAGACAAGAAAGCAATGAGAAGAGCTGAAAAGGAGCGTCTAAAGGAAGGTGAAGCTGCTGATGAAGAGCTGAAGAAGCTGAAGACAAAGAAAAAGGTTTCTTCCAAGGAAGCCAGTGCAAAACCTACCTTGAAAAAGAAAGCCAGTGGCTCTGACGAGGATCATGCATCCCCACCCAAAAGGCATGTGAATGTCAGGGAAGAGGAGGAAGAAGAAGATGATGATGTTCAATGGCAAACTGATACATCAATGGCAGCTGCGCAACAGCGCATACAGGAACAGTTGAGTGCTGTGACAGCTGAAATGGTTATGCTCTCCACAAATGAGACAGAAAAGAAGCCCAAGGCAGCTACTACTCAAGCGCATCAAAGTACCAAGGTCATTTCTGCACCATCTGACAATGATCCCAAAGCTGAGAATGGAGAGAGAACATTTGAGACGCTTGTTGAGGAGGTCAAAGTACATCTAAAGATGGGTGTTACGGCCAGCCAGTTTCGATCTTTCTTGGATTCACTTTCTGGATCTCCTCAGGACATGGTTACTGCTGTCTACGAGGCACTCTTGGATGGTGTGGAGAAAGCGTTCGCCAAGGAGCTTATTAAGAAGAAAGGTTATCTTCTTGCTGCTGTTGGTCAAGAGGATGGGTCACAGCTGTGTTTGCTGAGAGCACTGGAGGAATTCTGTGGGAAATCTAACCCGGCAGCTGTGAAAGAAGTAGCACTCGTTTTGAAAGCTTTGTATGATGCGGATGTATTGGAGGAGGAATTTATAGTGCAGTGGTATCAAGAGGGTGTTGTTGGGGTTAAAAAAGACTCGAAAATTTGGAAGAATGTTAAACCTTTCATTGACTGGTTGCAGAGCGCCGAGTCCGAGTCCGAGGAAGACTGATATCACAACTGTCCTTCCTTATTTAAACTTTTCTATGCAGGCTTATGTTCTTTCATTATTTAGGCATGTTCTTATGTGATAAAGAGTCTATTTACTAGTTCGGTATTTCATGTTTTCTTCTTTATTTGTGGTTTTACTTGGGTCTGTCTTCTTTTAGATGGTTTATGTTGAATAAGAATTCTATGGGAATAAAAAATCTAAGCTATATATTATTGTTGTGCGTTAATTTTTTTGAGTATGCAGGTCAATAGGAAGTTTTTTGAATAAGCAAATTATTGTTGTGGTGATATTTTTTTATTCAACGAGGGCTTCAGAAAAGTATGATGGCGATTCTGTCATGTTCAAGCCTTTTAAAGCCACATTATCCTTTTCAACTTGGTTCTTTTTGGGTAAAGGCGTGTGGCTTGAGAAGTGGAGATGATGAAGATCGCTGGTGTTTTATACATGAGTTATATATACAGAGCATAATCACAAATCACTCCGTGTCTTACTGTTTGAAACCTAAGGATTTCAATTCATGAGATCAGTTCTGCCTGATATTAGCAATAGAATATCTTGGCTCTTCATACAATATGGATCGATAGTAAATTTTAGTATTGTATTGTTATAGCGAAACCGTTGTATTGTAGGATGGAGTACAAGTCATAAAAGCAAAGCTAGAAATGTCTCAAAAGGAGGTCATTTGATCTTTTGTTGCAGCTTTGCTTTATTTGTCTGAGAATACTCCATAATAGAGCCATAAAAGTCGCAGTGTGAAACTTTCGCGGTTGTTCAGATGTCTTTTTTCAAGCCAGGGGTTCATTGGACATGTATAAAATGTGGCTGAGGCGGCTGTTGTGGTAGTTCATTCTCATCGTTTGATGGAGCAATTTGGAAGTGCTGACGCTGTTGTAATGGAAATTCATTTTCTTCATCTGATGAGGCTATCTCTGAGTGATGAGGATCCTAAAACAAACATAGAGAGAACAACAGATCGTAAATAATATTTGATTCAGGTCTTTGTAACTTGCATTTCGTATCAATATTTCATTGGTATACTGAAGTTTTTGATGCTTTACCCACCTGCTGATACCTCCAATGTCGCACAGCAATAAAAGCTTTCACCAAAACGTAGATTGCCAGTACCATTCCAATAGCTTTCAACACTGATAACTATAAACATGAATGTATAAACAACTCCGACGAAAAGTGCAGAAGTTTCTCTTTCCAAAGAAATTTAACTGTGCCACTAACCATGACCAATGTTACCGAGTTATCTCCAGCAACACCAAAGATTATTGGCAGCATTGTACGCAACATCAGAAGAAGCACAAACTGCATGGACAGGGGAAGAATCGAATGTGAAGATTGTACCTCTAGATCTATTGAAAAGTTCTATGTACGAAGCACACAATACATGCAGAGGGAACTTACAGTTATGGCAACAATACGACACCATATCAAACTTCTTGGATAAAATGTTGTATACTCATCTGACTCATAATCAACAAAATTGTCTTCTGTAGAAACCAATGCAGCAAAATGATGATAATCAACCCCACCCATGGAAATATCCCAGTTTCCTCTGTGATAGCAAAGACAAACCAAGCACAGCAGACATAGTTATTATTTGGAATTGTAAAGAACAGTTTTGTGAAGAAAATAACCAGCAAAATTTCAGATGGTAAAATTACACTGTGTTCATTGTGAATCTGCCAAATAGAGGAGCTGGTGCTGTGTAGTCTGGCGTAAAATTCTGCAATCTCACATTAAAGAGAAACGTGGTTAATAACAACCAACTTTCAGCAGCATATACAGAGTACACACAATAGCAACATTTATAGGTCCTATCTTAAAAAATGAACACAGCATAAGAAACTGTGCAATCACAATTGAACCTGGCGGCAAATTTCACAGATGATGTCCCCCTTCTCATTGCACCACCTCTGTACACATTTGCGATGTGCATACTGCGTATACAAAAACTTCATTTAGAACAAATCACTACTAAATGATTATGCATATAAGGATGCAAGAAACAGCTTCTGTCAGCACAAATTTCAGTTTTTTACTTGACAGCACTAGTCTAAAAGGAAAACGGCAACTAGACTGATACGAATCCAAAATGTGCTTCGTTACAAAGCTCTAGTAGAGAGCACAGTTACTAAGAGCTGGTCCTAATAACTAGTTAAATATTTCTAAAAATGGAAACTCATGGTAACAAATTTCAAATATAACACTTCGTATCGTCCATATGTCCTCCTGCCTTTAGAATGGTTAACACCTAAAGTGAGAACAGTAAGCATATATTTTTTCAGATATGAAACAAATCAGACATCTAATATAAATGAGGAAATAGTTAGCACAACAAACCTTGAGGGTTCCGCGGCAAGAACAGGGTACCTCCATGTTAGAATCATCATCACCATCATGGCAAATCCTACATTCTTCCATCTTCCTTGGTGCAGACTCAACATGGATGTTCATCCTATACGAAGCAAAATTTTCTCATTCTTTAATATCACCAGGCAAGGCATGCTGCAACAAAGGCGTATGATTGGAATATACTTTCCAACACCCCAGGTTTCCACACTTAACCAAGCAATATAGAGAATGCATAGGGTTAAGTGACAAAAGATTTTATGCAAGACGCTTATCACATATTCATTTGTTTGGTGTTAACTTTGCAAAATAATCTCACATTTATCAGAGTACTATAGTAGTTCATCTTTCTTTTTCTTTTGGAATGTATGAACTTACATTATTCAGATGAAAGACTTTGTGAAACTAACTTCCAGGTCCCAAAACAGCTCAGCTGCATTATGTTAGATATTTCAAAATGACATGATCAATTATAACAAGAACGACATAAGTTAGACACATGTCTCTGTTATATTAATCATAAATCATGTAACATGAAATCTTAGATAGTATGAAATTAAAATTGTGAAGAAAAAAAATACCGATATAGGCCAAGAGGAAGAAAAAACAGACGATACGTTGAAGAATCGAGAAGAGTTTTGAGTTTTGAGTGTATGTATTATGAAGAAGAGGAAAACTTACAAGAATGGGATAGCATTTTTACAAGAGAAGAAATTAAACACTATTCTTTCATCACTTCATTCTTTGCTTCCTCTATACATTTTTGATTTATTTTCCTATTCTACAATTTTGCCATACAAAATTTCTCGAAGTTCAAATCTTTCAGAATAGGTTTTCTCCAGAATTATGGTTTAAGGGTAAAGCAACAGTTTTTTTCTTAGTCATGAGCCTTTTAACATACACAAGTTGGAGGTCACCAATGTTAAAGGTCACTTTTCGAATATTTCCTTTTTTAGTAATTTTGAGAGGCACACATTTATTTGTTTTTGGTTTATTTCTTTTAAAAAGTATGAAAAGAATGATTATGTCAAAAGAAACAGAATCAACGAACGTGTTTTGATAATTGTTGCTTTTAAATGCTTTACTTCCTTCTCAAAAGTATTTTTACAGAAAAGTGTGCTAAATTTGCTTTAATCAATCGAAAGTTCTCTGAACTTTTTCTAAATAATTGTCAAAACTCAAAACACACATTTCTTATAGTAGAATATAAAGTTTGCACGTCCAAAGGGGAAAAAGTTGATAATGTCATATGCTTAGTTTGCCTTTTGATATTTATTATGCTCATTTAGTCGCACTCGACCTTGCAGTAACTGCCTCGAAGTACAATTTCCATCAAGCAACAAATAGAACATTTGCAGATGACCGAGTGACATAATGGCCTTGTTGCCACAACACACTGAATACGAGTGGAGATCTACAAGGTTCCAATTCACATGATTTGCCTTAGAGAAATGAAGACACAAAAGCAAGTGTATGTCCCTAATTCTGATATTCAGTTTTTCGTTCATTGTGCTTGTTAATTCCAAGAGTCTTAGGTTGAATCCAGAAAATACTATGAGCCTCAGTTCCATCCTACAAAGCACCCAAGAAAGAGCATATAGTGGAACTTGGCCAAAACTCAAACTTTGAAAGCCACAACTTTTATAGAACATATAAGATCTATATCGAAAATTGTTTGCTGGGGACAGATAAATGCTTCATAAAAGTAATCGTTGCACTGCATCTGTGTGACAGAGATAGAAACAAAACATAGAAAAGCTAAGGCGCACACTACATATGAGTAGTTTGTTGGAATAGGTAAATCAAGTACACCACTTAGAGACCCTTCACATACAAGTTTAGTACATCAGTTGATTAAATAATGCACTGAAAACAAGTAGAAACACTGAAATGATCACCACTAATGACACGTCGCTTATTACATAGGAACTCAAAAATTGACATGAATATTGTGAACAAACCTCAGACATAAGAAAGCAGAAGCTTGAAGTAGACTATAATGTATATAGAAATAGAGAAGAGAGCAAACACATGTTGCCAGAAGAGCAATGCTGAAGCTTCTCTGACTGCATAACCTCTCAAGCTAGCAACTGCTCCCAACAATATGGCACTTGGTGTTGTGTACTGCAGCAAAAGAACGAATTGGTACATCCTATCATCAGGGATTAAAAAGTTCAGTTGATCAGCCAAATAGACCACCCCTGTTCCCAGCAAAGGAAGGACCAAAAGTCTAGCTACACTGATGCCAACAGTGGTTCGAACCCCAAGTTCAGATTCATTTGGACCCTCAGCAAGCATTCCTCCTAGAATCAGCATAACTGAAGGCACCATAGCTTGAGCTAGTATATTTAAACTGTCTGTGAGGAACTCAAGAGGAGCTTCCTTACCATAAACAACAGATTTAATGGGTGGAACCATTCCAACAATAAATGCCAACAATATAGCAAACATTGGAGGCTGGAGAACATGTCGAACTGGAGTTTGTTCAGCAACAATTCTTAATTTTCTAACCACCCGAGGCTCTGCTAAACATCTAATAGATTTTGGACTTGTTGGAGCTGACGCTTCCTCCAAACTATCAGGATCTGGAATGGAACTATACGAAAGGGTTGAGACACTTGTAAAAACCCGCGCAATAAAGGGTGTCTTGCAATGCACAGTTTCTCTATCTTCCATACCAGGCCACTCAGCTTCCACTAGAAGTGGCCTACTTAAATCATTACTAGGTAATTGCTCCTGAATCTCACCACCCCCATCAACAACATCAAAGTACTCAATTGGGGGTTCCATCATATGGTAAACAAGAGTGTAAACGAGCAGGACCGCCACCCATTGAGAAAACGATACATAAGACACACCAGTCGTGTAACAATCTGGACCAAAAGGATTGTCACTACTATGACACACTGATCCAACAATAGCAAGAGGCAAATTGCCCGTATTCCCAAACGCAGTCGCAATGATAGTGAACCTAAAATACTGTGGAGGTGGCTTACAAATTTTCGCCACCAAATACCCCAACAGACAACCAATTGCAGTACTGAGAAGCACATTAGCTGGTATAAACCACCAGCGCATAAAATTCTTGACAGTAATAGTCTCACCAAGGTGAATAAAGATAGTACAAGGCAAGAAAAGAGCAAATACAAGCTTACTAAGAAGCTTAAAAGTAGCTTTAGGAACTAATTGGGTTCTTGGATGTGCAAGAATCAGACCAATAACAGTTAAACATAAGAGCTTCAACAATGGCAAAACAGCATATACAAGGTAGTAACTATTATAATACAGATTGGCCTGACTTTCAGAAATTGGGGGTTCCATTTTTTAGCTTGAAATCACACAGGAAGCTTCCAGAACCTCTGTCAAAACGCCCAAATCACTTGAAATTCTAATCAAGATTGAATCTTTACAAGGTTGGTCTTAGAAAAACCTTCAGATTTGAACAATCCAGATAACCCCAAATTCAGAAAATTACAAGTTACCAATAGTGTTTTGGTAACAACTTAAAAGACACTTAATTCAAATAGAACCTATAAACTACAGGTTAAATTCAAGATTCTGTAAATAGGGTTCTTTGAAGAAGAAAAAAGAGTCAAACTGCTAAATTATGTAAGCAACAAAGGGAGTAGCAAGAAAACCCAAAATCAATAAGTGAAAAATAGAAAGAAAAATGATGTTTGAAGACAACAAATACTTGTCTTATGCAAAATGAAGAAGCAACTGGTAGCTGAGTTGCAGATGGAACTTCTTCACTGGTAGAGAGAAACAGAGAGAGCCTTCTAGAAAACAGAGTGAAGAGAACAGGAAAGTATAGCTACTACTACTCTATGATTGAACCAATTTGGTGTACTGTTTCTTTGTGTGCATTAATTTACTTGTATTAGGAAAGGTTAATCCCCTGATGCGTAGGAATCTATATCCTTATTTTGCGATCATATCCTTGACTTAGCACGATATTTTAAAAAGTAATTTTTTTTAAAAAATTTATTGTTTTAGTTGAGATGTTTATGTGATGGTGAATCATTTTATTAAAGAAAATATATAAAAATTAAATTGTTTTTAAAAATAATATTTTTAAAAACAGATTAAAAAAGAAAAAAATGAGATATACGCTCCGTTTTTTTTTAATTGTCAAATCTTGACTTGGTATACCTATTAATTGATAGGATCTCAAATATATTTACTCATTATATTTTTCAAGTATATTAACTCAATGTAAATAAATTGAGTATATAATAGAAAAAAAATAAATTATCCTTTATTAATTTGTCAAAATTAACTAGTAAAAAAGAACATCAAACATATAAATAGAAACTATAAAATAACTAATAAGACAAGTCAGAAGGAGTGTTATTTTATTTATGGTTGGTCGAACATGTCAGATTAATAATGAATAAGTAAATTAATCAGCAAGGGATCAATTGATTTGATTCTATTACACTAAATCATCTTTTGTATTGTAAATATATAGAGATATACTTGGTATGTTTCAAAAGGTATTGAGTTCTAATTTATGTGACTTACTTATTATTTTACTTACAAAAATTTGAATAAAAAATATATGTAATAATAATTTAACTTTTAAATATTTTTTAATCACAATTTTTTAAAAATATCTTTCTTAATTTTTGTATTAAAATTAAATTAAATTATATAAATTGAGACATTGGAAATAAATAAGAGCTTCTACATCAATGTGGCCCACTTAAGTATTCTTGAATCTGCCTGACAAAAAAAAATATTTGAGATAAATAAAAGGGAATATATAGTATAGCCCACATGACCCCATGAAAAAACAATTGAAAGAAACTTCACATACATTTTCCCATCATTTGTCACGTATATATAAAAAAAGTTAGGTGAGTTGTCTAATTTTGTTGTATACATTAATTTATTTTTAGTATTATTGAACACATTCTTTTAACTCTTGAAAGGCAGAACGTATAAAATTAGTATTGACAATCAACTGATCGAGGGCGATATGACCGAAAAATTAAAATTAAATAAGGGTGACATACAATTGAACCGATGCCAAAAAGAAATCCTCATATAATCGTGTATTCTTTCAGTTCTTTTTTACTTGTTCTTTATTGACTCAGATGCGATAATTATAACAAAAAAAAAAGTTACATTGACTTGACACTTTCCGAATTATT